ATAATGACTTCCAACAATAATTGCCTCCCCGTAAGGATTTGTATTTATGGGGTGCTATGAAACCTGGGAAGATTTTTCCTTTGGGTGTCTAAAAACCATAATTTATAAGCAAGTGTCCATACCTTGACATGAAAAATTCTGCAAACCATCCTTATCTACAAATTATGTGGTACATGGAACATAATTGATTCTGTAACAAATTTGCATGATTAGCGTGCTTTCGTCGGCATGTATCGGATACAAATTGTATTTACTAAATAATGATGGAATAAATTGTTGGAGTTTATTCTAAGATTCTTGGAAGTAGGATTTTTCTCTTACGTTTGATTATGGTTGAATATAGTAAGTAGAGTATACTTATTAAAATTACATTTGTTTCACAATTCAATATATCATTTTTGGTCATTTTATATTATGATAAATTAGTAATTCAATAAATAATTTGGTAATAGGATGTACTCTGTTAATTTTAGAGTTCATTTAGCAGTACTCAAAGAATATTACCATTGAAATCAAATTGCAATCAATTTATGTACTTTTTTATACTTGATGCTCCCCTCCTTTAGGCATAATATTTGAAGGGACCTAAATGCATGTCAAGTCGTTGTGGAATATTTCTTCTAGGCCTCATGTTAATGAATTGGGCTTTTAACCCAATTTCGATACGATTAAATTGGCCTTTATCTTGTGTTAACCTTTTATTTATTTTATTTATAAATTTTTATAGGAATCAGATTTAATCAAATTTAACCTTTGGGGCTGCACGGTTTTGTTTTGTTTTTTGTTTTTAATTCAAATTTATTTATTATACAAATAATCTTGTCAAAGTGCCATAGAATTTTGAACATAAAACCACGGGTCTGCAAATCAATGTCTTTTTTCAGTGGCCTATACCATTTGGCCAAATTCATATTTATTAGTTAGGGATACAGGTTACTTCCACGAAAGGGCAGTTCACTTATTAGATGTGTTTGCTCTAGATGAGCGTTGACTAGAAAGGCACCAAAATAATGATGTCAATTTATTTTGGGAGACTTTGCTACTTGGAAACGACATCGTTGCAATACAGATTTTGACTTTACTACTTGGAAAACGACATTGTTGCCTCTTATCCGTTGCCATATCACATATAAGGAATCAATTCAATGCCTTCTTCCCAATATAATATACTTTATATATCAGGATATATTATACCTATAATTTTAAGGCCGCTTTTGGTCCCTGTAGTTTGGTACTTCAACCACTTTTGATCATGTACTTTCAATTCCGTTAATTTTGCCATTGTAGTTTCATATTTGTAGCAATTTAATGATATGTTAGTATTATTGTCAATTTCTTTAATGATGCAAGGGGCAATTTCGTCAACCCAAAATCCTTGATTGTAAAAGCTTATATGAAATTCTCTCTATTTCATATTAGGGCTCGAAATTCAACTACTAATCCCAATTTTTGAAGAACCCTAAACCCAAATGACCAATTTCAAGCCCTAATATGAAATTAGGAGAGTTTCAGACGAGCTTTTATGCTCAAGGATTTTGGGTTGACAAAATTGCCCTTGCACCGTCAAAAAAATTGGCAGGAATGCTAACTTGTCCTTGAATTGCTACAAATATGAAACTACAAGGTCAAAATTGACGGAATTGAAACTACATGGTCAAAAGTGGTTGAAGTGCCAAACTACAGGGACCAAAAGTAACTTTTAGCCTAATTTTAACTCAAGTACTTATAATTCAGTTGCATGTGCTGCTAACTCAAGTACTTATAATATCACATATAAGGAATCAATTCAATGCCTTCTTCCCAATATAATATACTTTATATATCAGGATATATTATACCTATAATTTTAAGGCCGCTTTTGGTCCCTGTAGTTTGGCACTTCAACCACTTTTGATCATGTACTTTCAATTCCGTTAATTTTGCTATTGTAGTTTCGTATTTGTAGCAATTTAATGATATGTTAGTATTATTGTCAATTTCTTTAATGATGCAAGGGGCAATTTCGTCAACCCAAAATCCTTGATTGTAAAAGCTTATATGAAATTCTCTCTATTTCATATTAGGGCTCGAAATTCAACTACTAATCCCAATTTTTGAAGAACCCTAAATCCAAATGACCAATTTCAAGCCCTAATATGAAATTAGGAGAGTTTCAGACGAGCTTTTATGCTCAAGGATTTTTGGTTGACAAAATTGCCCTTGCACCGTCAAAAAAATTGGCAAGAATGCTAAATTGTCCTTGAATTGCTACAAATATGAAACTACAGGGTCAAAATTGACGGAATTGAAACTACATGGTCTAAAGTGGTTGAAGTGCCAAACTACAGGGACCAAAAGTAACTTTTAGCCTAATTTTAACTCAGGTACTTATAATTCAGTTGCATGTGCTACTACCTAGGCAAATAAAGTAATTTTTTTTGTTTGGTAGTTCACACTATCATGCGTGTTTACTTTTATATACTCCAACTGAACACTACACTCGACACTAATATAGAATCTTGTGAGCTAATTCAATATTCGTGGCGACTCTCACATACTTGTTTTTAGTGTCGGGTGTAATGACTCGAGTGGTGGTATGTAGAGGCAAACGTGAATGACTATGATGAAGTCTCCATCATAATACCTATCAAGGACTTTAGTGATAGCATGTTTACTAATCCATAATTGGATTAGGAGGAATTGAATTGATGAGGAGTTGGATTGAGGAGAATTAGATTTCCGATTTTTGATGAAGTTGTTTACTAATTACTAAAATGTCCTCGTTGTTGGGTTAAAGTATATGGCATTTTTGAAAATTTGAAAATTGTGTGAGGATATAATGGGTAAAAAAGATGAATTCCTAATAGGTTAATTATTCAGGAATTAGAATACCACCTCTTACCTAAGAATTGAATTCCTCCAAAATCATGAATTCAATTCCTAATTTTGTATGGCCCCCACTTACTTTTCAATTCCTTGATGTGAAGTAAATGCAATAATCCTCCATAGGTGGAATTCAATTTCTGATGAGAATTCCAATTCTTGATTAGTAAACACACCATGAATGTGATGTTGCAATGTTAAATGAAGTGGGTGTGGAGAGGCCTTTCCTTATCCTTAGAGATAGAGGTTGTCAATTAGAAGTAGCTAGGATGGTTCAGTCTTTGGCAGCAAATCGGTGGTCGGTGGAGAATGGGGATGGCATGTGAAAGCACAAAACCAAGAACAATATATTTTGTACAGATTATATGGTCCCCCTGGAGATGATCATATCATTCAATATTATGTCCTCATCTCTCTTTTAAATTAGAGAGCTTGCATGCAAGATATTTTTGGGCTATATGTATATCTCTTGGCCTTGTATCTACTTTTTAGAGCAGAAATCTGTTGAATCACACATAAGCATGCAAACTTGGTTTTATCATGTTAATCAACAGATGTTAGGTGATCTTAAGATTATAATTATGTGTATGATTTTTCTAGATAATAGACACTAAATATGCATATGTATACAATGGAACAAGCTAATGGGCTGGGCCGTGCATCAATTAGGCGACGCCGATGTCCAGCCCAAGTGTGCTGACCTTACGAGCTGAGATGAAGCTAAAATCATGTACATGATGAGGCCCAGCCCACTTAAATCATACGACGTTGGCAAGTATGAATTTGGTTCTTGTTTGGAGGTTGCTTGGTAGACCAATCGGTAGTGGTGGTCCAGTTTCAACGAAGTTCATGAATATGACTTGAGGCTAAAAGCAGATTTCAACTTCTATACGTTTTTTTGGATTCTGATTTTCTGAGTTGTGACCTTCCAAAGTGAAAGCGCCAAAACAAGAAGTAAACGGCGCATAATTGGAGATGAAAAATCAATCTCAAGACTGAAAAAAGATTGGTTTGGTTTGAGTCTCCAATTGAAAGATTAGATAATAGAAAGAAAGTCATTTTCATTTTTTCTATTTCTTCCGGGGTGAAGTGCTGCGTTGAGTAATCAAAGCCCAAACGTCAAAATTGTCCCCTTTTTTTAAATAATTAATCACACGACAGTTTCACACGTCTTGGGAATATTAATTACTTGCTCCACTAGTTTCGTATTGTAATTACTAATAAGTTACTTCTAGCATTTTTCAAAAAGAATAAAAAAAGTATAATTCAGCTAGCAGAAAAAGGGGAAAATAACACGGTGTATTATAACATATACTTTTTTTTAATAATGAAATCTAGTCTAATGGAAAAGAGCATTGATTTGCATATAGCGGTCTCAGGTTCGAACACCCACGACACTGTGGTAATGTGTGTATGTGTGAGAATTTCCATTCTTTGCACCTAACTTTTTTTTTTCTTTTTCAATTAACTAATTTATTTTTCAAAAAAGAAAAAAATATATGTGCCCATTTTTAGTAGATATAAGATAATATTATTTTTAAATTTGTTACATCAAACAAATCAGTATTAAAATAAAATAAAATAGTCTAGAAAGGTCAAAAGTGAAGAAGTATTTTTCCATATATGACTTTTTATATAAGCAGTAAAAATGGATTATATATATATATAAGAAGTAAAAATGAAAATAAATAAAAAGAAGGGGGTAAATAAAAAGAGAGCGGGAGGGGAAGGGGAAGGAGACCAAAGTGGGTCAGAAGACTCAGAAGCACACGTTGATTGTAGGCAACACCATGTGCTCACATGTCACATGCCTGCCCTGCCCCTGCCCCTGCCCCTCTTCATATGCCTTCATTTCATTCACAGCTTACTCCTTTTACCCTTTTCCTCTCTCTCTCTCTCTCTCTCTCTCTCTCTGTTAGCCTCTCATCCATCATTGAGTCTCAGTCAAAACTCTCTCAGTCATACAACAAACACAAAAGAGAAGAAGACAACTCCCCCAGGCCCCAATTACACAAATAAAACGTCACAGGCAAACCACCAGTCCAAATAAACGAAACACCAAAGCCATAAAAACGACTCTACTCTTGCTGGCCCTCTCTGATTCAATTTTGAGTTTTTGAGAGTCGAAATTTGGAAAGATGAAGGAGAGCAGTGATGGGTTTGTGAGAGCAGATCAGATTGATCTGAAGAGCTTGGATGAGCAGCTGGAGAGGCACCTCAACAGGGTCTTGACTTTGGAGAAGAGCAAGATCATGAGAGACCCAGAAACCAACAGCAACAGCATCAACCTCTCCACCTCCAATTCCACCACCTCCACTTCTGCCATGACCCTTTCCATTCCCAAGCGCCACAGGCAGGACTGGGAGATCGACCCCGCCAAGCTCATCATCAAATCCGTCATTGCACGTGGCACCTTCGGCACCGTCCACCGTGGCATGTACGACGGTCAGGATGTCGCCGGTATCCCCCCTTCACACTCCTGTCGTTTTACCCTCTTCTTCCTCTTTCTTTTGGGGTCCTTTCAAGTTTCTCACTTTCGTGATTTTCTTCTAAAAAATCCCATCTTTCTCTTTCGATTTCGATACCCATTTTTAGAAAATTCAATCTTTTGTTATTAATTGTTTTCTGCTGTATGTTATGGTTGTTTTTATTAATTATCAATACCCATTTGGTTTTTTTGCTTTAATTTAATTTAAAGTTTGGAGATAATTGGAGATTTGGTTTCCAGTGGTGAAATGTAGTTGATGTGCAAAAGCAAGGTTGAATTGGTGTTGTTTTACAGTGCTTTACTTTATTTTGGTCAGTACAATATTGGATTAGGTGAACTCTGTGGTTGATCTTGCAAGTCATTAAAAGTTTGCTGCTTTATTTATATATACATTTAGGTGTAATATATATATATATATATATATATATTTGTAGCAAAATTCCAAACGCATATCCAATGGACTGTAATGAAGGGTTGCCGATTGTCCACTGTAATGTGCTCTTATGGAATCCGTGACTCTTACACGGGTTTGTGTTGAATTTCCTGTTGAGAGCAACAACTTGGATAATGTTGTTGTATTTCTGAACTTTCATGTGATCCCTCCACCTGTTAGTTGAAATCTATTCAACAGCTGAATAGGAACACTGCTCATAAATACATATCCATATTAAGCAAAACTAAGATCCTTAGTTGCCATTATGTTATTGTAGTCACTATCCTCATCATTATCTAATCCAATCAAATTATGACCTTTTAGGTTCTTTGTATTAGGTCTTCCTTTTTTTATTTATTGGTTTATGATGATACAAAATCGGGTTGTGAATTTTACAATTCTACTAACGGCTCCTTTCTTAACATCAGTTAAATTACTTGACTGGGGTGAAGAGGGTCACCGGACAGAAGCTGAGATTTCTTCTCTAAGGGCAGCTTTTACTCAGGAAGTTGCTGTCTGGCATAAACTAGATCATCCTAATGTTACTAAGGTAACTTTCTGTCTTTGCAATTTATTCTCTTTGTTAAGATTTTTGCAAGTCTCATTTGGTTTTGGTTGGGTTTTCTAACTTTTGCGGTTAAGAATATTGGGGCCCAAATTTCATTGTTTTAAGAAAGCTTCTAGAATATGCAATGTTAAGGACATTCACTACCTCACGGCACTAGGGGTTGGTTTTTCTGGCATCATCTATAGTGTGTCAACAGAGTTCTAAGTTTCTCTAGTAATACAATTGCTCTCCAGTCAACACATCAATATTCTCCATGATGTATCACAGCTTAAGGTTGTACTTATAGCTGAGAAAGTTGTCTTCCTTTTCTTTGATATGCTAAGTTGCATCCCTCACCACCTTAGTGAGGTAAAGGCAAGAGTTATTGTATCCTGAAATTTCAGAATTTATCGAGTAGTTTCAGATATATTGCAAAGAAGTTAAACTGTAAGTTTTAAAATTATTTGTACAGTAGTAAATATATATTACCTTTTCTTTTGTCGGGACATCATACATACAACAATTCTGTGTGCTTAAATGCTGCTTCAATTCATTAAATTCTTACACCTTGCAATCACTTTATGGTAGTTTTGCTTCTAGATTGTTTCTCACTAAAAATTTGTGGTCTATTAATGTCCAGTTTATAGGGGCAACAATGGGTTCATCAGAACTACAAATACAGACTGAAAATGGTCAAATTGGCATGCCGAGTAATATCTGTTGTGTCGTCGTGGAATATCTTCCTGGGGGTGCTCTGAAAACGTACCTCATTAAGAATAGGAGAAAGAAGTTGGCTTTTAAGGTCGTTGTCCAGCTGGCACTAGATCTTGCTAGAGGGTATCCCTTTCCAGTATTTCTTTTGATATTTGTAATCTCCTTTTTCTTTCTTCAGAGCATTGTAATTCGGCAGATATAGAACGACCACCAGCTTGTGTTTTTGTCCAGCCACGTATTTAGACCGTACTTGTACTATATATTGCAGGTTGAGCTACCTACACTCACAGAAGATTGTTCACAGAGATGTAAAGACAGAGAACATGCTGCTGGATAAGACACGAGTAGTCAAGATTGCAGATTTTGGGGTTGCTCGAGTTGAAGCTTCAAATCCTAATGACATGACTGGGGAGACTGGCACACTTGGTTACATGGCTCCTGAGGTATTTGGTCTAATCTATTTGCTTAAGATATTCTGGCTGGGACTTCACTAGCGTACCAGAAACTTTTCCTGTATCTTCTGGAGTTTTCTTTATGTATCTTTATAGGCAATGTTGTTAATGGAAATCTGAGGGATGGTAATCACATGTGTATGTATTTTTTAATATGACTTCTCTAATTGCATGAAAAAGACATTATTGGCACTTCCAAACCTTATTACCTTGATGAAAAGAGGACGGTTTTGCTGATATAAAGAATTGCTTATTCGATGTATAATGACTTGCCAAATTGGGTGGGTTACAGGTTCTCAATGGCAACCCATATAACAGGAAATGTGATGTGTACAGCTTTGGCATCTGTCTATGGGAGATATATTGCTGTGACATGCCATATCCTGATCTTAGCTTCTCGGAAGTGACTTCAGCTGTGGTTCGCCAGGTAAACTATTCTCCTATCTCCACCGTTGGCACATGTTATCCTTTTGTGTTGCTTCCTAAAGTTTTTATTAAAAGTTACATGAAACTAATTCTTTTCCTGTGCTTGCAATCACAGAATTTGAGACCAGAGATACCAAGATGTTGTCCAAGTTCCCTAGCTAATGTAATGAAGCGATGCTGGGATGCTAACCCAGACAAGCGTCCGGAGATGGATGAGGTAGTCTCAATGTTGGAGGCTATCGACACGTCGAAAGGTGGAGGTATGATCCCTCAAGATCAGTCTCAGGGTTGTTTTTGCTTTCGCAAGATTAGAGGGCCTTGAAGATTTATTCATTAAAAGAACAACTGGGACATGATTGTTTTTAAGATCCAAGAGTCCAATTTGTACTTATGATAGCAACAGACAAAAAGAATTTGAGATATCAAAAGAAGATGAACAGAAGGTGGTTGGGGTATACATTTGATGAGCAATGCTATTTCTCATTTTGTTTGAGGATGTAAAGCTTTTTATTAATTATTGTTCCTTTTTTTTTTTTCTTTTAAATGAATGTGTATTTATTTGACTTGCTGGTCAGTGTGTGGCTTGCACCACCAGCTCCTTGTAAGGTCCATTATATACTAGTATTATTGTTATGATTAAGTTGACCTTATGTTTATATTATTCATTTGGTGTGTGCCCATTCGTCTGATGTGACATGGTCTTTCTGTGATATACCAATTTTTGGTTATTTTCTTTGGTAAGGTTTTTATTTTTATTTTTATGATATTTAAACAGTCGGATGTTCTGACCCAAAAGAAAAGAAAGAAAAGAAAAGAAAAGAAAAGAAAAGAAAAACAAATTATCAGAAGGAATTGAGAAATAAATCTTTAAAAACTCAAGAATTGTAGCAAGAAACTCTTTATTTTGGTTTTTCATCATCTTCATTCCAGTTGGTTGTCTTGTAGTAGGTGACATATAGGATGAGCTGCATCAACCCAGAAATTGAACCCAAACCATTGGGAACCTACCAAAATCGTTCAAAGAAAAAGGTCATTCACTCTTCTTTTGAAAAAAATAATAAAATAATGTGTGCTGGAAACAATTACAAAAAAAATTTGGACTAGAGAATTACCAGAATATATGGATCAAATTTAGGGAGTGCATATATGAGCCAGACAATTCCATTGCAGAAGTTAGCAAGTGACGGCAAAATGGCATGTATTTGACACTCTGTCTTGATGACCATTTTCTGCCACCCAAACTTGTTTAAGACATCTAATAAATAATTCATGCAAATAACTTATTTGTACATACCATGACTGTCAAGGGTGAGGCATGCATAATGACGTTGAAGATAATACACAAGATGCCAATTATCATAGACCGGTCTTTAGTGGTACGGAAAAAGAAGAGCAATGAGGATACGAACCTCAATGTTACTAGTTGGTGGAGTGTAGTGCTGAGGGTTAGATTGAAAACTTGGAGTTATTTAAATGGCCCAACTTTTCGAATTACAGTTTTATTTTTAGTCATACTAACAAATTTAGGACCCGTTTGATAACCATTTTATTTTTAATTTTTAGTTTTCATTTTTCATTTTTTGTGCTAGAGTATAGAGGAAAATGAGAGAGAGAGAGAGGAGTAACAAAAGTGAAAACAATTTCAAATAAGTTTATGTTTTTAGTTATTGTTTTCACTTTTATTACTCATCTTTCTCATCATTCCCTCTCATTTTCCCTCTCAATCTTATCTCTAATCTCATTTTCATTTCCATTCTCCATATTTTTCCTTTATACTTTAGCATAAAAATAAAAAATAAAATTGAAATGATTATCAAACGAGCCCTTAGAAAATAAAATATGAGAGATGTGGTGTAAGTGACCTGCCTCAGAGGTCATATTTCTGTTAGTTGTTACATTAAATGGCGGGGGGCGGGGGGAAGTAAATATTATCTGTTATATGGTTGTACAATACGTGTTCGAATATCACATAGAATTAATGAGATATTTTGGTTCCATGGGTCCCTAAGTTTGCTTAAGATATGAAAAGCCCTTCATTTATAGGTTTTTAGCAATAAGCCCATTTTAGTATCGATATATTATACAATTACTCATACAGAGCCTATTTGGAGTAAAAAAACTCAAAACTAGTCACTTGTAATTTTCTAATTGGTTTTAACTCCCATAACAGAAACATTTATTGACTTTTTTTAATTTTTTTTTGGGGCTATTGTTTTTTCTATTTGTATTTTTCATATAGGCATTGCTGTTAATGGAAAATCTGGGAGATGGGTGATAACAATTGTGCATATATATGTTATATGACCCGATAATTGGCTAAGTAAGTCCAAAGCTCAACCAACAAGCCTAAATTCGAAGCCAATTATAATTGGCCCATTTATAACAATAACATGCTAGTTCATTCGTGGTTTAGGGTTTGTTGGGACTTGTATATATATATAGTTGCAAAGCCTGCAATTACCTATAAGCAAAACTTTATTTCCTCAGTTTTGTTTCCCATCCAATAAATTGTCAAAACTATATGGCAGAGGCAATATCATCAACCTTGGATTCAGACTGGGCATGGCTCCCAGGCGACATTCTAGATTTGATACTAGAAAAGTTGATATCAACCTCCGACTTTATCCGGTTGGGCGCAGTTTGCAAGCATTGGCAATCCGGCTTTGGTTCAGAAGCCGCTGCGCCTCAAATCATCATGTCACAAACAGCTTCCTATGGTGATTGTTACTGACATAAATAACCGCGGTGGAAGCAGTGCCTTGTACGGTGTCACACAAGGCAAGGATTACAGCTTTGACTTGCAGGATTGCCCTAATTATCATCACAACAAGAGAGGTGCTATTTCTGTGGTTCTTCCCATGTTTGGTTGGTTTATTTGGATGATAACTATTTGGTCCTAACCCTCTTTAACTCTTTTACTGGCGTTCCGTTCGCCTTCCACCATTCAAAGAAGCCCCAAAATGGAGACAAGAACGCCTGGAACTGAATTATGTGCATGATTTGTTCATTGCCAAGGTTGTATTGTCTGCTGACCCTTGCTTGTTTCCTAATTATTTTGAAGCGATGATACTCTACCATGAACTTTATTCAGTAGGAACCCAAGCCCATTTTAAGGCGGTGAATAACACTTGGACTCACATAGATACAAGGACGACATTAGCGGATGTAACAGTGTCCCTGCAGCTATGACTCGTGCCGGAGCTACCAGACCACCTACACTACTCAATTTTAATGGGTACTACCTTGTCGAATCGTCACGGGGAGATTTACAGCTCGTTGTTGAGAAGTCTAATAAAGAATGTTGGGTGTTGTGTGCTTTTTGGGATGATGGAGGACCCCAATGGGCTGAGATTAAGAGTATAGGAACTGATGCTTTGTTCTTGAGTAAGTATGAATCCATGTGCGTCTCTGTTTTAGACTTTCCGGAGTGTCTTCCAAATTCCATATACATCCTTGATCGTGTGTCTATATTTGTGTCACTCTTCAACTTGGAAAACAGAAGACTACTGGAATATTGCTGGTCAAAAAAATCTCTGTGGTGGAGCGGGCCAGGATTTTGGATTTTGCCCACTATGTTATGAGGAGCTGGCTCCACTTTTCTTCTTTACTTTTCCATGTGATTATTAATCTGTATTTTCATTCATCGCTCACATGTTCGATACTGTGTCTAATTAGTCAATGTAATCACTGCATGACCCGTGGCTAATCATGATCACAGCTATTTCACTTTCATCTTCTCTATCTTCCCCCACTTTAATATATCATTTAACCCAATATTGATGCGGACATCATTACTTAGTTTCCTGATTTACTCGTAATCACTTGGGTGGTTATGGCAAAAGATTACTCGTAATCACTCTCATTAAATTGAACTCGATTTTGCTTCTCACTTCTTCACTTCTCACATAGAGATGAGAATTTTGCTGTACAAAGAGTTACAATATATTTGACCCAAAAGAGTCACAGGTTTTTTCTTCATTACAATTTTGTCGTTTAGATTTGAATAGAAAGTTGTTTAAGAAAACGACAACGAACGGAGCAAAGTTGAGGGTTCAAATGGAACCATTTCTTACGCAAATTGCACTGCCTCAACTGAAATAGTAAATTAAGAAACAAATTATTTTATCTATAATGAATAATTACAACTTACAATTGAGACAAAGACCTGCACAAATTGAGAAATCAAAATGGCTCAATAACTAGTTGGCTACAAAAAGAAAGAAAGCTCAAGAGAACTATTGGTGCAAGAAACTCTGTCAAGTCTTCCCTAGACATTGGACATTTGGACCTCCGATCTCGAATTTATTTCGTCGTCGTCGTCATCCCATCGGGTGGTTCTGTAGAAGGTGGCGTACAGGATGAGTTGTATTACGCCGGAAATCGCTCCCAAACCATTTGGAATCTACCAAAATTATACAAGCAAATGGGTTAACAAAACAAAAAAGAGTTGTTATTTCTTTACTACTTGGTGATGAGCACTTAATACGAATTTAAACTTTGTTTTAGAGAAGTACCAGCATATTAATATCAAATTTAAGGAGTGCGTAGACCACCCAGACAACTCCATTTAAGAGGCTAGCAAGCGAGAGATAAAATGGCATGTACTTTACACTCTTTGTCTTGATGACCATTTTCTGCCACCCAAAAAACAAGTACGATTAATATATGTAATTTCGGGCTCATTTAGGAATGATTCTAGATAAGTCAAAAAACACTTCTATGGAGAACCACTTCTTCATATAATCACTTAAAGTGATTACATGGAAAAGCACGTGGGAGGTCTCCTCAGAAGAATCACTCACAAACGAGCCTTTAGTTTCTCGTAGCTCAATCAGGAGATTTAATATTAATTAAGGGATTAAATAATAGAAAGTTATACATACCATGATTGTCAATGGTGATGCATACATAAGGATGTTGAAGACAATACAGATGATCCCAACTATCAAAGACCGGCGTTTAGTAGTATGGAAACAATACAGTACCACAAAAACCACAATAACAAAGAAGATAACTTCTGTCACAAGTGCAATGAAGATCTTTTTCTGAAAGAAGAAAAGAAAAAAGGGTCATACTAAAATAAGTCCTTACAATTCAAAAACTCTATACAATAATCCACAATTATACAATGTTTAAGTGAAACATATTTACAAAAATAGGTTTTAAATAAATAAATTCGTACACTATTTACATTCAAAAAAATAGGTTAAAAAAATACATTACTCAGATAAATGAATTTTTTTTGTACCTATTATGTAAGAAAATAGGTATGTTACTTTGTAATAGAAAATTTTGTACACTTTTTATAAATTAAAAACAGATTAAAAAAATAACATGCCTATTTTTCATTATTTCTATATTAAAAAATAGGTACATTGAATAAAAGAACATATGAATATGATCCAAAGGTTTCTTCTTTTTGCCAGCATGACCCAAACGGTTAAACTCACAATAAAAACGTATAATAAAATAATAAAATATGCAAATCAACCCCATTATAAACCGACAGTTAATGATGATTGATTTATAGATAAATTTTTTGGAGGGAATCACCACAATAAATTGGGGATTCAAAATTAAAACACCACCGCATGACACACTGAACTTTAAATAGGGGTATTTTAGGAATATAAAAATTATAATAAATCATATCTGGAGCTTGATAAGGTAATTTGATGAGTTGGATCTTAGTTATGGGTTTTTACTAATAACAATTGGGTATCGTTTATAGGAACAAAAAGTGAAGAGTTGCAGGCAACGAAAATTGAATTTAAAGGGAGTTAGCCAAGTATCTTTCCAACACATTGGAAAGGAAAATGTCACTAATTAATAATACTTACGCGTTTTGAGCCCGGAGCGTAGATTATAAAGATGGTAATATAGATGAATTCAATGACTAATCCAGCGCCATTGATTGTGATGACGAGAATGCTGTCGGGATGGACAAAGGGCATGCCATAGAAAACCCACATAGCACAATTGAGCAATGTTGCTACATAAGGGTCCGGCTTGAAATCTGCTACTGTTTTTTGTTTTATTATTCTCCAAAATGTCGGGCTGGAATGTTTAATTCATAATTAACACAAATTAGATTAGTTTAATTTGTCATTGCACTTAGAGAGAGAGAGAGAGAGATTACATTGGGGAGAGAAACAAGCCCAAAGAGATGACATTACCTGCATGCAAGAAAAATATTAGAAATTTCTTCCTTAATGGTTCCAGTGTTCATGCATGCATCTCACAGAAAGCAAACGATAAATCACAACGTCTGGTAATGCCAAATTCAAAATTGAGAAAATTGAAACTGCTTAAGAGGCAAAAGAAAACACCAAATAGATTAATCACTGACCGATAATGCCAACCACCGTTCGGATTGTGCCTGTGTCCACCATTTTTACGTTAATTTAGAGACTAGTTTAGTACTTGAATGAATCAAATGTTCATTTATTTAAAGCTTCAACCTTCCTATGGATTGATGGATGCAGGATCTTTGCTTCAAAACAAAATGTCATCCGCTTGTATAAAAAATAACAAGAACAAAATTTCATGCACTAAAATTGGAGGCTTCCACAAATAACTATGTTTCTATTGACTTAAATCTACTCCTGAATTTTCCAATCATCCTCAATTAATATTTTGTTTTGTCGCTTAATTCTTCTTAGTTATTAACCGTCAAATTAGTAGTGGAGTGCGTATGGCGGTGACTCATCTCCTCACTATCTAATTAAGTAAAATTTTAAATGTCATTAGATCAAATGATCATCCGCCCAATCCTATCTGTTTGGTTTGCAACCATGTTACATGTTTAGCCAACTTTAGGTTAATGCTCAAAAGTTGATATATAATTTTTATTTATTTATTGATCCTTGTCGAACTTTTGATTTTGCATGTTGCTATCAAAATCTACTATATGGATGTTCTATAGTTTTGATACGTCCTGCATGAATCATGATTCAATCCGACCTCTTGAAAAATGCCACATAAAATGAAAAAATAAAATAAACGGTAAGATGGGTGTAAAAATCTCCAACCACAACCATCTAAATTATTGTTTTTGAGAAGAAGTAGGGCTAGCTAGCAAAGTGGCATGACTCAAACCACTTAGATGAATATTTTTATATATGCAGGTGTGAGGACAAAATCATTTGACGTGCTGTATTATGAATAAATTCCACAGAATAGATTCTGGAGGTTGACATCTTAATTCACGTAACGATGTTCAATTCACCTAAATTAACCATGCTGGTAATAATATGATTAGCTGAATCGAGAGATTCTCAAGAATATGATTGTTAAATGAACTTGAAAATGCCTTATCTTTAGTCTAATTAATTAAGCTAATCAGCCAACTCTCGTTTGTAACATAAATTTCTAAGCAATTAGGCAAGAAACTCAAAAAATATCACATTTTGAAGGAGCCTTTGTCTGAATTCAATCACTTTGTAAGTTTCCTAGTCAAGGCAAGGGCAAACCGCAGGGCCCTCAAGGGCCTCAACTTTTGTGTTCTTCTCTCTCTCTCTCTCTCTCTCTCCCTCTCTCTCTCTCTCTCACAGAGCTTTACCAAATTTTCACCTTTAGTCTAAACTTTGAATAAAATGTTAATGCCTCAAATCTCAATGGTCAAATGTGTCGTTTTCCCTTCATTCATAAACAAATTATTGATAAGGTCGAGATGCTCTCTCTGTAATTGTCTGACATAAAAAGAAAGGGACAGAAGCAGCCCACCACTTGTAACAAAACTGCCACATTCAACCAAACTCAAACCCCAAGGAACCCTTTAAGGTTCTGTTCTTTCCTCAAACTTGTTCTGCTTCAGCTTCTTCTTGCCACCTGAAGCAGTCTGCACCAACCGGGCCCAGATAAGATCGATGGTTTTGATGCATGAGGTGGCCAAAAAGCTTCCAGCTTGGCTTTAGTGTTTAATAAGTATCTGATAAGATTTGAGGTAACTTGGGATGCTTATGATCAGAAAAGTTGAGAAAATCTTCTAGGTTTTGTTCTCAATTTTGTGAGAGCTGGGAAATCTTTAGTGCCTTGAGAAAAAAGAAAAAGAAACTCTATCTGGGTTTCATAGGTTATGGTTATGGAGATTATTATCTCTGTGATACTGCTGTTTGTGGGTATTGCTGTTTTAGTAGTAATTCATATTTGTATTGTTAGGATAACTTTCAACAGTGGCAACCAAGGTGTTGATATTGTTCCAAGAAGCAGCATTAGGATCAAAAGGATGACCAATGAGGAACTAAATATGCTTCCTTGCTTTGACTACATGGCAGGAGAGAAAGGGACTAGCCTTGTGGATTGTGCAGTTTGCTTGGAAAATTTCAAGGCAGGGGAGAGGTGCAGACAGTTGCCTAATTGCAGACACAACTTCCATGCTCAATGCATAGACACATGGTTGTTGAAGACGCCGGTTTGCCCAGTGTGTCGAACTTGTGCTAAAACTCCGAAGATTGATGTGAGTTTGGGAGAGGAAAGTAGTGTTGCAGGTGATTATCGAATTGAATTGACATAGAATGAAGGTTACCTTGCAGCCATTAGCTTCGACACACTCTGTTTTCCATTAACTGTGAATAATGATGTTCTTGTATAAATTTTCTTGCTTCCTTCTTCCAAAATAATTCAATTCTCGTTCTACTTAATATAATCATATCTCAAATGATTATTTTTCAAAAAAGATAATTTGTTTCCCCAATAACTAGATAGAGATTTGAATCCACATTAGACTGCAAAATTTTGAGGTTTTTCTTGCATAGGGTTTTGTACTTTTGTTGTTCGATTTCGAAGTCGTCGTCCTCTTAGAATAATTTAAGATCAGCTGTAAACCCATGTGACCCTTTTTCCTCTGATGGATTTGTTGTTGGCTTCTAAATTTTTGAGTGTCATGTCAACACGTAAATCCCTTCTAATTTCTCTCTTAGGGAAGCATAAAATGCAATGCAGTCTTGATTTCGCATCCAACACAAAACTCAAATTCAGCTCACAAATCCTGAGGCTTTAACACAAAAGTACATTGCAAAGGTTTTAAGTCTGTTAAAAGGCAGCTGGTGTTTCGAAACGAAAACTAACAAGAAAACCCATCTCAGCTTCAACTAACTAGGTCATAATGCAAAGAACCCATTAAGCTGAGCTTTTCTCAGTATTGTTCTCCAGCTCTCTCCTCAGCTGCAGAGAGAAATCATCGTTGACATCGTCGTCGTCCCAGTCATCTTCCCACTGCTGTGCCACTTCCTTGCCTTCCTCTTTGTCCTCCCATTCTGCCATCATTCAAAGAAGGAAATGCAAACAAGTTAGAATGAGGCAGCATTGCAACCATAGACAATGGACTAACACCTATCAATTGCTATGGACCAGAAGAAAAACAAACACGCAATCACTCTAACCAGTGTTAAGCAGAGGAGCACCATGTTTACACGAAGTAAATCTACAAGGTGGTGAACTAAAATTTGAGAAGCATGAGCACCAAAAGGCCTCAACAAAAATTACCCATTTGAATTCATCATCAAATCCCTAAATTTCACCAATTTTAGCATCCTAGATGATAAAACTAAGAGGACTTTTATTCATACACTAAATTCCAATTCACAAGGGCATGCATAACAATCAATATCAACAATTTCCAAAAAAAATAATCAAATTGAAACCCTAACAATGAAATGGCAGAGCTGAGACTGGAGCAGCAATTCCAGCAGGTATTGAAGTGCAATTGCATACCTTCATTCATATCAAACTCTTCGAACTCGTCGTCGTCTTCGAACAGATCCATCTTCGCGACCTCTGTCACTGGCTTGGGCTCCGTCGCCATCTCAATCCTCAAAGCGCACACTAACACAACAAAAGCCGTTTCAGCTTTCAAATTCCATGAAACCAGGATAAATACACACAGAAATATTCGATAAAGTGTTTGTCTTTCTTCTGAAAACAGAAATTTGCATACCAAATTTTCACAAAAGAAGAAATTGAAAATTGAACTTCAGCCCCAAATTAAAAAACCTAACTTTCCTAATTGGAGTGTGAGAAAGAAAATGTAGTGAGAAGTTGAACTTACAGAGATAGAGAGATTGGAGAAGCTGAAAACTGAGATTAAGGAATTTTAGGTGGGAATGGTGATCCTCTCGGGCTAGAACCTTCTGGTTTATACGGGAAAGCTTCAAAGCAACAGTCCGAGAGTTAAAGACGAAGAAGAGTAAAACGGCGGCGTTTGGGGGATAGTCGGTTTCAGCCTTTCAGGTGTTCCCTTCAAGTTCCAAACCACGTCGAACGACACGTTTTCTTTCGTCGTTTCCAGATGGACTATGACGTAGTAGAGACGCGCGTGTGTTTGTTTGTTTAGAAGAGGCGCTATGTTTTACTCAAATACAACACAAATTAAATTAGAAAGTTAAGATAAGCTATTTGCTTAGTACACAAATCCTTGTAGAATTAGGAGTTTCTTTTTTTCTCAGTTCTACTAGTATCTGACAATATCGTAATTAATACGACTGGTGAACAAATCAATATACTATGTTTATCATGTTACGTAATGTATCCAATACGCAAAATAAAATTTTCAAGTGAAGGCAGATAAAATTGTTAGCACTTTAATTCTAGAATAACTGCTCTTCTCACTTTTAGTTTTGGTTCAAGAAGAATTAGACACTTTTGCTCCATCTTTTTGCACAAACTAAAGATACCATCCCCAAAATGTTCTGCATCGCATATAACTCCTAGCTTTCTGTCACAAACATTTGCATATTATTACAAAAAAACATGTATTTCAGAAACACTATACCAAAAAAATCAAATATAAATTGTATTTATACAAGTAACATAGTGACATATATAGCTCCTGCAAAAAATCTGAGCTAATTTCTTGGCAAACAAAGGGTAGAAAAGCAATGAAAAAAATCACAAATTTTTTGTGTATTCACACCAACTAATTGTATGTATTTACATTGAATTGTCAGAAAGAATTTGAGATGAATCACCGTTCCTGAATGCATTGTGCTCTTGGAGCCGCAGAACTCATCCATCTCAAAGAGCTAGTTTCATGGAAGGTATGCATAATTTTGATGAGCGATCGCGCTTTCTTGCTCGCGTGAGCGGTTCCATCCGTCAGGAGTGAAAAGAGTCTAGGCATCAGAGATGAGTCCTTTGCCAAAACAGCAACAACCTCCACCCCACCATTGATGCACAACGACAGCAATGTTGAAGCGCAATACTCTTTCGCGGTTTGGGATGATGAAGTTTGAAGAATGGCGGTGATCAGATGCAATGCCGTGGTGTGCAGGATTGCAAGTGTTCCTTCAACATTCTCAGCCAGCATTGCAAGAACTGCCAGTGTGTCATTGATAAGTTGTTCAGTATTTTCTGATGAAGCCAATCTCTCAACGAGCAATGGAACAGTACCTGCTTCAAGCACCTTTTGGTGATTTTCGGGCCAGAGGAGCAGCCCGAAAATCGCAACCACAGCATTCTTCTTCCCACAAGTTGTCCCTTCCTTGATCAGCTCCACAAGAGCCGGGATGGCCTCAGGTGTTTCCCCGATCACTTTTCGATACTCCTTCACTGAGGAGAGGTAGAATATTGTTGCAGCTGCACTTTGCCTGGCTTCTAAACTCAATCCATGTTCAAGAACAGCAAGAACTGATAGCAGTCCTCCACGTGCCATTATCAATTTCTTGCCGCTTGCATATTTTGAGAGCTTCAGCAAGGCTGCAATTGCGTTCTCTTGTGTGGATGCATCAGTGGAACACAATAGTTTCAGGAGAGGAGGGACAGAGCCAGCCTTGATCAAGCAAGACCTGTTGAAAATGTTCGATTTCGCGAGCAATCGAATCTCATAAGCAGCCTTGTTTTTCTGTTGATTTGTACCGAAAGCAAGCCTGCTGCTGAGAAATCTTGAAAGAAACTTCATAGCTTCAGCAGCGGCCGGGCTGCCAGGCACAGCGGTTTGACTTATGTCGCGGCTTTGTCTTCCTGACTTGCTATGAGAAATGCCATTGTTGGCATAAAACTTTTTGATTACCTTTCGCAGAATCGAATTAGGTACCAACTCTGTGCTTGTGAGCCTCTCCCCTGTTTTGGGACAGAGCTTGTTTCCAGCTTTGAGCCATTTCTGAATCGAAGACCGATCGTAAGTCTGACCTGTAGATACAGTCACCGGATCAAGCATCAGCTCAAGAGAAATTGGGCACCTAAAATCTTCAGGGTTTAAGCAACTAAAGTGCGTCTCCATGCTGCACCTAACATCGACTCGATTCGCGGAGTTTTGATCATCCAGTGCTTCGAAAATCACTCCCCTGCTGTAGCTCATGAACCCCACCAAGCTACTGAGAAAAGGAACCTCTCTTTCGTTGCAATTCGAACTCTCGGAATAAGCGATTTCTTCTTCCAAGAATTTAATCTCCATGTTACATTCACTCCAGCTTTTGATTTTAAGGTAATCAAGAACCCTCTTTACGCCATTCAAATCCGGTTCAATTCCCTTTTCGAATTGATTCAATATCGCAAGCAATCTTTTGGAAGCCAATTTGTCATCTGGGTCAGGCTCAAATTCTGCCTTCCTTGATTGCTTCAATACTAATTCAACCAGCTCCTTGATTTCAAAATCCACATCGATCAAACTCAATGGCAAAACATCAAGGGCGGTGGCCAAAGCTCGAATTATCATCCGGAATTGACTTGCAAGAAACTCGCATTTTGTCAGCATCCAAATCCGAGCGCCATCCCTCGTGCAATCTTCCAATAAAAACAGAATTTTTTGAAAGCTCAGGTGAAGCTCGGACAGGCAGAGGATCAGAGAATGTGAAACAACAGAATTGCAGTCACGAATTTCCTCAAAGAACATGAGAAGAATACTAACTTGGCGGATTATTTCTCGGCTATTTCTCCGTTGCGTTGCAAAGTGTTTGGATTGGAAATTGCATATGTTGCGGGAGAGAGGGATCAAAGAGCCGAGAAGGGTTGCCGGAGAGATGGACTCACAAGGGCGTACAGCCGGGAACGTCAGAATCCGGCGGTCGCAGCTATCGAATTTCTGAGCCATTGAAGCAATAGTGTGGGAGAGAACAGAGGAGCTCTGTTTTTGTACATAGAATTGGAGTGGCAGAAGACTCATAAGAGAATGAGAGTTCTGTTTTGGTGCATATTGGGGAAGGAGTGGCAGAGTTGTAGCAATATAGGGAGAGAAGCGCTAGCTTTCGCTGTTTATAAAATCTTACCTGCACGTGGCAGGCATCTGTGCTGCCACGTTTCAACGTTGACTCGGATTGCACTCAACTAGATAGGCCTCCCTGGACACGTGGGGAGGTGTGGTTGGATACCTGCGGCTTCTTGGATCTTTGGTCAATGTTGATTCACGTACTGTTTCATGTATACGGACAGTTTGTCGTTGGCTGGAGTGATTTTTACGGGTCCCACAGACCGACTAAGACACGTGGACAGGCCAGCTGACCGACGTGTTACGGTGGCAATGGGGAACACAAAGGCAACACATGTGTCTTTTCTGTGGTTTATTTAGTCAAATGGGTTTTTAATTTTGATTAGAAGCAAAGCTAGTCTTGTATTTTTAATTATTTTTTCAATTAAAGATTGAATTAATTTCGTTAATTCTATGGGTTTTGGGTTTTGATTTGCTGCTAATAATAATATTAAAAGGAAATAATATCATTACACTCTTAACTTGGGCTACAAAAAATATGCAAATTCAAATGCAAAATCATGTGCATTTACATCAAAATGCTTTAAGTTTGGATAAGAGTATTGATGGGAAAATTAATGACTATTTTAATCAATATTCTTAATGAATTAATGGAAAAATCTTATCTTAAATAGTGTTCCTAAAAGGGAGGGGGTTTCACCCCTTCTGTGTTTTGGCTGGATCAGTATGTTCAATTAAGTTCTTTTTGTCGTAAAACAACAACAACCAAAAACAAAATTGTTTCATATGAATTTATGCAAAACAATCACTGTTGCGTGATGCAGTCATACCAGTATGTGATGTTACATATCTATTTATATTATATACATGTATTTATATATTAATAAAACACCACGTAGTTGTACGACGATCGCATACTAAAATTTCTCCTCAAGAAGAGGAAGTTGCCAACATAAAGATTATTAATTGGTAGGCATCTGAGAAAGTCATGAATAAACAGTCAAGAAGGGTGAGACTAAAAACCATGCATTTTTTTTAAATTTGTTTTAACCATGTAAACCGTGTACTAGGAAGACACGTGACATGGGTCATTTTCAGATGCTTATCTAATAGGCTGGTGATATTCATCTGAGGCATCAAGTATCTGGGAGTGTTTCACCAATCATGTTCTTCTACGTGGCCACAAATCCTTCTAATTAATTTGTAATTTGCTTCTTTTTTCTTCATCTAAAATAAATAAAACAATGTGATGATGTTGACTAGAGGTAGATGGCAGATTTGATGGGTGGACCAACCATTTCATGACTAATCGAACGCGCCTGTTTCCTTGGCATTGCAATAATTTTGGAGATGATAAATAATGCGCGTTCATTGGTTTTTACTTTATTCGGTATGATTGGGACTATGGCATATTCTTCACTAACTCACTGAGTTAGTCTAGACGATTTTCTCCAAGGAAAAATGTTTATGTTCACTGAGTGATGCCAAGCCTCCCCCGTCACTGTTTTGAAAAGAATAGTCTCTGTCCACAAAGCCTGCTCCAAGTTTCAAAGAACGTAGTTTTTGAAACATTTGGAGAATGCTAGATCAGTCGTTCACGTGGACGCGCGACTATTCCATTGCCATAGCTATTGATATATGTGGACTCCATTGTGAAACTCACATACATCTATGGTCAAGAATTGCCTACTTCGTTTTTATTCTTTTGGATATGGGATATGACCAAGGGTTGGGTTAGCATGTAATTAAGGTTACATGCAGACTTAAGTACATAATTTGCTATTTCTTATCAGGAGTGATTAGATGAGAGAGGTTCAAGTACTTTCTTTGGTGGCACATCATTTTGATTATTATAGAAACATGCTCAAATTTCACAAAATTTGAAAAGATGAAGGCCTTTGAAGCAATCCCAAAAACCAATTATCATTTTCCATAACAAAAATTCATCAACTTTCTTTGCAACACACACACTAGTGTAATTTTATTTTTGAAACAGATTATATGGGAGTATGGTGCGGCTGAGAGATTTACAACCATGCTGGATTCTTCAAAGGAGTAACAACAGCCTTCACCTGCAAGTAGTTATGAAGGCTGTAGATTCCCTTCTCTCTGCCTATTCCACTCATCTTGTATCCACCAAAAGGAATTGCAGCATCAAAGACGTCGAAGCAGTTAACCCAGACTGTCCCGGCCCTCAACGCCCGTGTCAAGTAGTTTGCAGTGTCAATGTTCCTGGTGAAAACACCGGCAGCTAGACCATAACGCGTCGCGTTTGCCCTTCGTACTACTTCATCAAGGTCCCTGGTACAATGTGTGAAATTATTAGGCATGTCATGGTGCAACTTTTGCAAGAATGCAAGAATTTTTTTTTTTTTTTTTTTTTTGGTCTGAGAATGCAAGAACCAGATATATACAGTGTGAGAGTGAGGTTTCTAACTCACTTGAATTTCAAAATTGATTGCACTGGACCGAAGATCTCATCCTTTGCTATCAACATGTCATCCTGATTAAAAATCATAAGAATCATGTTACACGAGATTTCATGTGTATTGGCTTTAGCGGTCAACTTATAGGAGGTAGGAATAATACCTTAACATTCGAGAAAACAGTTGGCTCGATGAAGTAGCCCTTAGAGCCCAATCTTCCACCTCCACACTCAAGTGTAGCATCGCTGTCAATCCCAGCTCTTATGTATCGAAGGACCTTCTCAAACTGCTCGTTATCGATCTGTCAATCATTGCAAGGATAAGAAGCATCACATAAATTTTCCTTGTTTTTGTCATACACAAGGACCTTCAAAAATGTATTAATACGATAGACCTGCCAGCATTGTTGAAATGAAAAAGAAAAAAAAATCTACTTCCTGATCATGTTGGGGAGGGAGGGAGACAGAGAGAGAGAGAGTACCTGAGGGCCTTGTTCAACACCCTTCTTAAAGGGATCACCAACGACACGTTTTACAGCACGTGCCTTTGCTTTCTCTATGAACTCATCATACACACGCTCATGAACAAAAGTACGAGACCCAGCACAGCAACATTGCCCCTATATGTAATCCAGCATTCATCTGTTACTAATGTGTTCAGATCACACAAATCTGGCTTTGTCTAAAAATAATTGAACCAACCTGATTAAAGAAGAGAGCAAAGTGTGCAAGCTCTACAGCATGATCAATGTCAGCATCCTCACATATTATGAAAGGTGATTTCCCTCCAAGCTCCAATGTTACTGGCTTAAGATTACTTCTTGCAGCCAACTCAAGAATAATCTTACCGGTATCAGTTGATCCAGTGAAAGCTACCTGAAAAGGAAGGTGGTGATGTTTTAAGATAATGCATGACAATATGAAAAATTGAAAAACATGAGTATAACTTTTAACTTCATGAAAGTCAAGAGGAGGGCATATGTGCTCCAAAATTACCTTGTCCACATCCATATGACTGGCAAGAGGAGCGCCAGCTGTTGGCCCATCTCCAGAAACTACATTTAAGACACCAGGAGGAAGACCAGCCTGTCACAGAGGATGCTGAGTAGATTAGAACATGAACTAAGACCAAATAAATAAATAAAAACAGGTGCACACTTCATGTTGATGCAGAAATAAAGAATTATAATTGAGCTCGACAGGCCTACCTCTTGGAATAGTTTTGCCACATAGAGTGCAGTCAGGGGCGTCTGTTCTGCACTCTTTAGGACAATAGTATTACCACAAGCCAGTGCCGGCCCAACTTTCCACGCAAACATGAGCAGAGGAAAGTTCCACGGAATTATCTGCCCTGCAACACCAATTGGTTCATGCAGGGTTTGTACATGATACTTTCCATCAGCCGGAACAGTTAAACCATGGATTTTGTCTGCCCACCCTGCTCAATTCGGGGAAAAACTTGTTAGTGAAATCGACTCAAAGAATGACAAAGGCAAACAAATCATTTGATTACAGTGTTCTCACCAGCATAGTAGTGAAATAGACGAGCCAACATGGGTAATTCGGCATGCAAGGCCTGTTCATAAGGCTTCCCATTATTCCATGTCTCAAGAGCTGCAAGTTCTTCACTATGTTTCTCAACCAAATCAGCAAAGCGTAATAGTATCCGTGATCTTTCCTGAAAAAAAAAGCAGAAAACAAGTCTCAGTGGAAAAGCAAATCAATATCTTGACATATACACATCACTTATACCAATCATTGGCTAAATCACAACAGATTAATGTACTTACAAACTTTAGACAGATCTAATGTAAAATAGTTCTTACATAAGCGCTCATCTTTGGCCATGGTCCTTCATCGAATGCCTTACGAGCAGCAGCTACTGCACGATTAATATCTTCTGCATCACCCTCAGCCACATGAGCAATCACTTCTCCTGTACGAGGATCGTATGCTGGAAATGTTTTTCCTGATCAAAAGAATTTTCAAACATTAGCTCGATTACAAGTTTTTTGTAAGCACCAATTAGTCCAACACTTCCTGAAAAACAAAGGGATGGACTGCAAATTTTTGTTAAATGAAGAACAAGATTACCTGATGCAGCATCAACAAATTGGCCATTGATTAGATGCTGAGTGTGACTTATTTGAACAGGTGGAATGATTAATTCCTCAGTTGCTGCAGCAGTGCTAAATCTGTTGACCCTTCTCCCTGAAGATCATATGAAGAATAGTTTTCATCATATTAAATAAAATAAAATTAAAGACTTAATGCATCTTTGGCTATATGCGTATGGTGGTATTTGAAAATATCAATCTTGCATCAAATTCCATAATCCCATGAATCATATATTTTGCATTCTGTACATTGTAAGTTGAGTCATACGATAAGCGTTTTCTGTCATTCAGTTTCCACCATACAACATAAGAAGAAAGCCATCCATGAAAAAAGCACGAGAGAGAGAGAGAGAGAGACCAAATAAAAGAGAGAATTTTATTTACATGATCTCTTCTTTCTTTTCTATTTTTTTTATTGAACAACTTATATGATTTCAGTTAAAGTTGCACATCCAGTTGGGTGTAATAACATCTTCTTCTTTTTCTTTTTTTCATCAGGAGGATTTAATATCATTGACTTTTCATTTCTGGGGGATTCAACTTCTAAAAAGATTCCAGTTGCTAGTCATATAAATGTATAATTGCACAAAAGATCAAATTTTTGCTGCCAGAGAAAAACAAGATTAACAAAAGATCAAATTTTGGAATCTGAGAATCACTTGCTATATGATTGAAAGAAACAAAAAGAGAGAAAGGAAGAAGAAAGTATCAGATCAAAATCCAGCTTCATGTAGCACTATATCAGTCAGCTCAGCTAAAGGAGCTTATCATAGAAATCCAACTTCTATAAGACTCTTCAGAATTTCTTTACTGTCAATCCAAAGAATGAAAACCATGAAAGCATATAAAACCAGACAAAGAGGCTAAAGTAGTGCATGACAATTAATGAACACCATGGCAGAGAACGAAGAAAACCCCTGAAATGATGAAATCTAAACAGAAGACTAAATGAAACATACAAAAAAAAAAAACAAAAGGACAAAGGTGGGGGTGGTGGTGTCACCTTGAGAGAGAAGCAGAGAAGCAGACCCAGAAGAAGAAGAAGAAGAAGAAGCAGAGAGAGAACGAGAGAGTAAGCAAGAGAGTCTCCTAGCTGCCATATCCACAGAGCTAAGACTACCTCAAACTCAAACCCTTATCCTGTATATTCCTTTGTGATAAAAACAGAGTTCTCTGTTCTGGCTGAAAAGTTTCTCAGAGGCCAAACAACTCTCTCTCTCTCTCTCTCTCTCTCTCTCTCTCTCACGAAGTGACTGACACTAAGGCCCTTTGGCGTTATATACCAAATGAATTGAAAAAATTCTATAAAAAGAAAAAAAGGACTGATATTTTAACATATCTTTCCAACTTTCTTGAAAAACAAATCTGGAGTGCCAGCCTCCTAAAAGATAATGAGCCAGCCAAGCCAAGCACCCAAGATGGACTTCTCAACAAAAACCAGAAACACACGAAATAATCAGTTCATATGTCAAAAAATAATTGATTCTTAATTTGTTACGCTCTTTTAATATTTGATTATCTTTTCCCATACACGATTTTTGTGGATCAAAGTTGATTGGCCTATATATAAAATAAATATTCCTCTCTTGGCTTCATCGTCACTTGGAGTAACATGCAGTCAACTATCCTCCTCGAGTGCCAACTCTTACTCTTCTGTATATTTTTTTAGTAACCAAGTTCTAAATAGGCTACATTTGTCACCTTCCCTTTACACATTACACTTTCTGTTTGCAAATAAGACTTATTTCTTTTTAATTGTTGGCTATTTGTATGAGCCTTTTCTTTTTCAAAAAATGAAAAGGTGCATAAAATGATTTGTATTATGGGATGGGACGTTCGCAATGAATGACCTGAAAATTATCAACACACTACTTGAATGGAAAACTTTTACCATGGTGATAAAAAAAACTAGTTGGTGTTAACCGTCTAACTCAGTGTAAAGGGACTTGCAGATTAGTTGGTTCAGGATCGAACTTCATAGCACATTAATAGTGTATATGTGAGAAACTTCCTCCCCTTGGCTTATATTTGAAATAAAAAGATTGGTGGTGGGTTACTGATAATTACTCTTTCCCTCAAAGGAAAAAGCAAAAGGAGGAGGGAAAGATAGGGATATTAGGATACAGGATCTCCAAGAAGGATGAGTGAATAGGTCCCAAAGATAAGAAGAATGAGTGAGTAGGCCCCAAAGATCCTTTTATTTAGAACGTCATTGTCATTTGGTGGATTAGTTAGTTGGTATATCAAATGCATACCTTGTTTTGTTGATTACATGGAAATGGCACGAGCCATTATTTCCTTTCTATTCATTCTTGATAAGTTTTGGTTGAAAGTAAAATATGTAAATTAACATGTTTTCTTTTGGGGGAAATTGATTAGTGTTTTTTAATATGGGTGATGATTTAAGTACTCTCAAATCACTATTAAATTATCTTATGCACTTCTCATTTGCGAGTGGCAGAAAGATGTGAAATATTTGAAATTTAGAGCCCGCAACCCACTAGATTTGAAAAATAAAGACATGGAAGCAATTCACAAATGCATACAATCAATCTCAGTGAGTCAATGCCTTTCGAATCAGGGTGTTGGCGTTGCCAGACTTTCAATGTAAATTGTTGGTCAAACTTAAAACCCCAGCGACTAATGACCATACACAAGTATAATGCCAATGGCATTTGCATTTCCACCTTCGTATTTCTTCATCAAGATACAATTCAAAGGAATTTGGAGCCCAGTTTTCCACCACAACATTCAATACCTCATCCAAATGGATTGGCGGTGGTGGTGGCATTGCCTTTTCAATACCTCATCTTATGAAAAAGACTATCAGAATTATTATTTTTAAAAGGAAAAAGGAAAAAAAAAATCTTTGGGCCTTGGTCAGTTTTTGTTACAACCTTGGTCCTAACTAATAATGGTCTCTCTATTTAGTTTTTCTTGCGGCCCGATAACTCTGCTAATCGTTATAAACTCAAGTGTCTGCTGAAAAATCAGGCTCATCTGGCTTGGAATATTTTTTTGGGCATGGTGGAGCTGCTTTCATCATGGTGAAGTGCTGATGTTACGTTCTGAATCCCTCTTCTGGTGTTTGCAGCAAATTTGGAGGCCAAAATTGCTGGCCCAAGTGGAATATTATGCAGAATATTTCCCACTGATGATGATCTCTCAGCACCTCTACCCTCATAAGCATGTAGGCCCAAGGGTGGTTGTAGTCTAAATCAGTGAGTGTGAAATGCTGTTTATCCTTCCAATCTTGCGAACATATGCCTTGACATAATTCTTGGACCTGTACTTTCTCTGTCTCGAAACTTCAACTAGCAAATGATCTCTGTTGATTCTCTTTTATCGGATTGCTTGTGGTGTAAAAGTAGAACATATTTTGCAGAGAAGCTTTTTTTTATGTGGAAAACATTGATACTGTGATTTCTTATTATATAAAAAATAGTATAGCCGGGCGGCTATCATAGGATATTTTATATAATTAAAATAGTATCGCCGCGCGGCTATACTTTGGGGGTTGTTTTTTAACTAACGACGTATAGCCGCACGACTGTACAACCGGTTTTTTATTTAAACACATAGTATAGCCGCGCGGCTATATTATTTTAACATGATCTAGCTCCAGGTTGGTCCCTTTTTTTGCGGCTGTGCTCCATTTTTTTTATAATAAAAATAGTATAGCCGTACGGCGATACTTCGGTTTTTATTATTAAAAAATCTTATAGCCGCACGGCTCGACGCGGATTTTTTATATAATAAAATAGTATAGCCGATCGGCTGTACGATGATTTTTTTTATAAAAATAGTATAGCCGTAGAAGTATAGCCGGTCGGCTATACTATTTTGACACTTGGCAAAACAGCACCAGGAGGGTGGTCCTTTTTTTAAAAAAAGTTAGTATAGCCGTCCGGCTACACTCGGATTTTTATATAATAAAAATTGTCTAGCCGCGCAGCTATACGTGGGGTTTTTTTAATTAACAGTGTATAGCCGCGCGGCGATACGCCTATGTTTGACACGTGACGAAATGAGGCACCAGGCTGGTCCCTCCTTTTTCAAAAATGGTATAGCCGCGCGGCTATACTATGTTTTCAAGAATAGAGCCTTGGAAAAGAGAAGCTTCTGTGATCTCCATTGCAGGCTTTGAAGCAGTCACTAGTCCTTGTATCCAAGCATTCTTCAGTTTTGTTCAACTTTGGACAGATTCTGTTCTTCTGATTTAGTTATAAGTTACACCTAACACGCCTCAAAGCTGCTGGACTCATATTGATTGTCCTCCATAAGCTTGATATTGAATTCATTTGCTTGATTTTCTAAACTATCATGGTAGTTATTTTCTTCTGAGAATCGCTTAAAACAGAAAAAGTCATTCCTTAGGAATTGATAAGTTTCAAGCTTCAAGTTTGAAATACATTATGCTTTGATAGTTAAGTGAACTTCATCATGCATTCATTGTAAGGTCTTTGTGCATTAATCATCTTGCTTTTGAGTTTTGATTATGAAGGTTTGCTTTGGTGCCCAAAAAACCCCATATTTTATTATTGCTTGACGAATTCGATTGTATAAAGTTGTGGTTGTTGATCAATCTGGTCTGCATCCTTTGGATCGATCTCCACGCTTCATCATGCTCATGTAAAATTGGGGTCAATTCAATTTTTAGTTTGGTTCCAACTTACCATGGTAAAATTAAATGCAAAATAAAAAGTTATTATTGCAGGGGCACAGGAAGGCACATCTCATGGTAAAATAAAAAACAGAGCATATAAAAACCAACATAGAATAGAATACAAAAAAATAATAATAATAATGTTGCAATAAAATGACTGATTATCATTATAAGCTCAAGTGTCTGCTGAAAAATCAGGCTCATCTGGCTTGAACAGTTTTTTGGGCATGGTGGAGCTGCTTTCATCGTGGTGAAGTGCTGATGCCACCTTCTGAATCCCTCTTCTGGTGTTTGCCGCAAATTTAGATGCCAAAATTGCAGGCCCAAGTGGAATATTATGCAGAATATTTCCCACTGATGATGATCTCTCAGCACCTCTACCCTCATAATCTGTACTGCCACCTCCTATTCTTGATTCTGAATTGCTGTTGCCAAGGTCTTCTTGGTCCAAAACATGTGTGTAATAATACTCCTCCTCCTTTGCCAATTCCATTGCCAACTTTCTCTTCCTAAACCTCCTCCAAGCAACTTGTATAAAACAAGCCCCCCATGTTCTCCACTGGTGTGAATAGTACCTGAAAGCATGCTGCAGTTTCTTGCTGTGAAGGCGCTTGAATTGATTCGCAACATACTTGAGATCTTCAGCTCTCAGTGCAAATGCCTCGACTTCTGTTAGAGACTTCACCGTTCGAGTTGAGCATGGAAGGTTGAGGCTTGATGTAGGCATCAAGGCCCATGTAAGCAACTCTTCGCCGCAGAAGTCACCGGCTCTGAGGGTTATTGAGTTGAAGAACCCTGTCCTTCCACCATCAGTTGTGGAGCTCTCAAGTTGCCCTCTGATGATGAAAAGCATCTCATTCACAGGATCACCTTCCCTGATGATGTATGTGTTCCTGGTATTCAAGGATGACTCGAGGCGTTCACATATGGCATCCAGAAGCTGATCATCCATTTGTGCGAAAAAGGGTACCTGGAATTGAATTTTAATTCAACCACCTTTTAATCTCATGGATTTCAATCAGTACATGATTTGATGCCAACTTATAAACTCAGCTGCATTGCGCATTTAAGGAAGTGTCACCAGATATCTGATCAGTAGTTAAGACTGAAACACTTACACGGCGGACAAGGGCAAGACACAAATGCCTTTGAATTTGACGGCGGAGATCCGTAGGCAAAGCCTCCAGAATGTTTTTCTCATCTACCCCTCTTGTGGCAATCCACTTATATTGAACAAAACGACGAACACGTTCTTGCAATTCTGGAGGGAGTTGACGGTGCCTCATCCACTCCTCTGTGTCTCTTTTTCTAACCCTCCATTCTTCAAGTCTAATCGTTGCAGATTGCAGATAGGTCTTGAAGAAATCATCAGAAATTTATGTCAACATCATGCCCCCCAACAGAGTTACAATAATTAAGAAATTCAATTATGTGAAGGAAAAACTACAACTAGATTAATGAATGAAGACAATTGTCTCTGTATGCTGCAGATGCCTTTAAACATGGCAAAAGAAAATTATGTATACCTGCATCTGGCTCATGAGATGTGAGAAGAGAACGAGACCAAGAATGGAAATGAGAATGCATAATGAGGTTTCACTGGCGGAAGTGCTTGTCTCAATATCTTGTCCATATGAACTGCATATCACTTGTTGAAACGAATTAGCACAAACAGCTTAATATGAGCTTTAGATAAGTAATTTAAACAAACAGGTGAGACCAAAGCATACCATAAATTTCTCATACCCCACCAGAGGCAATAGAAGTATTTTTCAATAAACACTGCACCAGCAACCTCGTTAGTGAAAGCCTCAGCAAACATTCCAAACTCGAAATCTTGGTCGTCATTAGCATCACAACTTTCTGCCACCTTTGTGATCTTGAGCCAAGCATCGCGTTCGGGGTTGCCTTCACTGCTACAATCAAGAAACGAAATTTTACAGGATGGAGAGTGTGTTTTATTAATTTCCTTGCTGCATTCACCCTTCCAGCACTCATACTGTCGTCGAATGGACAACACATACCACGTAGACCCAACAATCTGCACTGAAGAACAACACCGATAATAGCAATCACATCAAATTAAACAACGCGCACTAGCATGATACGTTGTCAGACTATGACTTTGGCACCCTCCACGCAATATTCGAATCAGAGCTCACTGAACCAATGATATATAAATTAACAGTCTAACAACGTAACACAATATGAATTAGTTAAAAAGGCCAAAACTCAGCTAGGTGGATTCTTACATGTGCAATTAGACAAAACAGAACGAGATTGTATGCAGCCCCTGACCAAGCAGTCTTGGCTACAACACCAGTACTTTTAGTAATCCGCCGGTTCAGCGGGAAAATTTGAATAAATCTAGGAACATATTGAAGCAGAACAATCAGAGAAAGGGTATGGTTAGCATGGGCAGCTGTTGGGGTTTTCACTGCTGGAATTATGAACCAAATCATAATCTGCAACAATAATTTATAATAAAAAATCAAAATTACAAATTTCCGATTACAGTAATTGCATAACTAATAGGAATTAGTAATATATATAAAAAGATCACTTTTTGTCCATGAGGTTAGCCGGTTTTTCTAGTTTAGTCCCTGTAATTTTAATTTTGTCAATTTAACCATTGTAGTTTGATTCTGCACATCAAAATTTTCATCTAATTCCATCCAAATTGTTATAATTAAAATCACATGAACAAGAGTGAAAATGTCTTCAAACTACCGGGACGAAAAGTGACTTTTTACCTAAAATAAAAATAGAGAGAGAAATATATGTAATATTATTGTTACCTGTGGGAGAGGGAGGGCGGCGGCGAGGTCGATAGAGAAGTCGGATTTGAGGTAGCGGAGGGCGATTGCCCGGGGGTCCATGACGAGCTGGCCTCGCCCGAAAACCCGAGACCCGGGAGCGATGAAAGCAGTCCTGAACTTGACGGCGACATGGCAGATGTAGAAGAAGTCGAAGACGGTGCGGAGGAAGGTGACGATGATGCCGAGGCCCATGTCGATTTTCATGCAGGAGGAGCCGCCGATGCTGGGGAGGAAGAAGTAGATGGGGTCGAGGAAGAGGCCCATGATGCAGATGACGAAGAAGATGTGGTTCCAGAGGGTCACGCGTTCGGATCCCGGGTCTTGGATCTGGTACCACCAGGGGATCTCCTTCCGGAGCGAGAAGGGGGTCGAGAAGTTGCGGATGCGGGCGGAGGCGGCGGCGTAAGGGTGGAATGTGTTAACCATTTTGGGGCGTTTTTGTCTTTTAGGGGTTTGGCCATCAGGGAGAGATTAATTGAGGGATTTGTGGGAGAAGAAGAAGAAGCAGCAGAGGAAGGGCTGAGCTTTCGGGTACCCATGACCGTTATCCCATTGACGGGAAAAGCGCGGCAAATTTTTATTTTTTCCATTTTATGTTCTGCTTTTTTTAAAATAACTTTTATGATCAGAGTTGGAGAACTTGGGAAATTTTTTGTTTTTTGTTGCTTATCTTAAGCTCATCAATATGATAGTCACCAAAATGTAAGTTCTATCACTTTTTTTTTACACGACTCGGAGTGCCAAAGTCAAATATTTATACGAGACAAATGAAACTAAGACAATCCAGGTGATGACGAGCATAATAAGTAGTGATTGAGATAATTGAAAGTATTTAACGCCATCAGTATTTGAATTTCACAAATTGTACATGTAGAGTTATTATTATTTTTTTTTAGGACTTTTTCTATTGAGATTGACGATAACATACTAAACTCACACACACTACATGCATGCTAGGACTCGAACCTTAGGACCTTGCCTCAGGGAACAAGTAGAGTTATTATAAGTTGGTAAAGATGACAAGGATCCCATTTGGTTATCCAAAATGTTAGGTAGAAGATAGCCAAAGAGGGTTTGTTGAGTTGGTAAAGATTGTTCTCTTTGCTATCCAGGCATAGGTTTGAGTCTCACTGCCAACAATCTCTCCTGGTGAGTAATCTGTAAAAACCAAAAAATGGGCTAAAATCCCCTCTATAAGTCCTCAAAAATGTCTTTATATGCCCTAATCCTGGAATGGGTAGCCTCTTCTCCCCTAAACCTTTGTTCATAAAAATAAAATAAAATAAAATAAAGGTTAAGTAGAAGATGACAAGGTTAAAATAGTTATTAAAAATAAAAGCAATTAAAAACTATAAAAGTCAGTTTGTTAAAATGAAGCGTGGCCCAATGGGCTAATTTGGTCGTCTATGAGTAACTAAATATTAATATTTTTCCACTCTACCAAATCACTTATTTTTACTTTTGCTCTTTTCTACACAACTTTCTCAAAGTAGATTAGGAGTTCATATTGGCTTTTCATCTTTACTGAAATAAAGCCACGTCATACATAAGATCCCTTGCAACACGTCATACATAAGTTCCCTTGCAAAAGAATTTTGCTAGTATATAAATATGCAAATATTTGGCCACCTCACAGAAACACTAAATCTATAGGTTGTTTGTTTATTTCCCAAGCTGAGCCAGCCACCTCACAGATTGATAGCTAGGGAGCAGTTTTGACAACCAACCAGAAATCAAAGGTGTTGAGAGCAAAACGACGTCGCATGGAGAAGAAGACTGCCAATTTTACTCTCAAGACTGCGGCAGATCATGATGATGATGATCTTGTTGATCATCCTAAGGTTCCTGGATGGTTTTCTGAGCATTGTCCCATATGGCCAGGTGGGTTTCCATGATATTTGACTTGAGGTTCTCTGAAAATGTGTTAAACGTTTGTTGTGGTGCGCTTTTTGTTGCATGTGAAATCAGTCCAGTCCAGATTCAACTTTCTTTTATTCTACACTTCAATGTAAACACACACAAAGTAGAAATGTTTAGTTCGAAAGCAAATGCTCTGGCTCATTGTTTACTTCAGGCCGCCCTAAGTAGTTTAATTAGATGTGTGTGAAATTAACTTTCTTTGAATATGTCTTGTAGGGCAAGCGCACTTTTTGAAGGTAGAAAAAATCTTATTTCAAGGAAGGTCCGAGTACCAAAGTATGATGGTATTTCAGGTAAGTTAACATTTCTGTTTGAATAATATATGACCCAGATTAACAGTTTGGCAATATAACATGTCACCTACGTTACAAATATGGTTGATTTCTAATTTGCAGTCATCGGCATATGGCAAGGTTTTTGTTCTAGATGGAGCACTTCAACTGACGGAGAAAGATGAGTGTGCTTACCAAGAAATGATCACCCATCTTCCTCTTTGCTCCATTCAAAATCCAAACAAGGTAATTAATTAAACATGTGCCATTAAATCTCATGTCAAAGAAAGAAGCAAAAGTGTCAATCTTACACATTTCATGACATAATTCCCATACGCATGTTAATTATCAATGTCCTGCTGAAGTTAATTACAACAATATTAAATTACAAGTACTTTTGCTAGATAATTAAGCTCAACTAATTGCAATTATTTTGCCCCCCTACTTATGCGTACTTGATCAGGTATTACTCATTGGGGGTGGAGATGGCGGTATCTTGAGGGAAATTTCTCGACACTCTTCTGTCCAACAAATCGATATTTGCGAAATAGACACTATGTTGATTGATGTGAGTAAAAAAAGAATATGCAATTTTTCACTAAAATTTAATTATGGAAATGCATATTGTTTTATTATAGCCTTTAATTAATGAATGTGAGTACGTAATATTTTGTATAATCCAATAATTTTTCAGGTCTACAAGAAATATTTTCCTGGTATTGCTATTGGATATGAGGACCCTCGTGTGACCCTTCACGTTAAAGACGGCAAGTTGGCTACAACTAGTCTGTGATTATTGGGTTTCTTTGATAAGCAATCCTTTTAAATATGTTTTCTAATCATGATCAACTTAAATTTCCAGGGAATGCATTTATCAAGTCTGTACCAGAAGGAACATATGATGCGATAATTGTCGATGCATTTGACCCAATAAGTACATACATGCTATGCTTCCCTTAATTCCCTAGTTTTTTCTCGATCTCGAGCGCTTATTTAAGAGTGATTTTATCTTGTTTATATATATATATATATATATATGAATATATGGTATAATAATAGGTAATGATTTCCCCACTCCAATTTTATCCACTTACACTCCTTTTTTAGTTATAAAATAGAGTATAAGTGGATAAAATTGAAGTGGGGAAATCACCACTCAAAATAATTTTTATAATACATGATCTGCAATGCATTCATGCAGGGCCCGATCATGAGCTTCATGAAGGTCCTTTCTTTGAGTTGGTGGCGAAAGCTCTCCGACCGGGCGGAGTGATGTGCATCCAAGCAGAGAGCATATGGTTTCCTTCCTTAGACATTGAACATCTGACGGCAAAGTGTCGCCAGAAATTCAAAGGCTCTGTTGATTATGCATGGACCATTGTTCCTGCATATCCAAGGCATGCCATGCATGCATATATAATTACTTTTTTATTCGTTAATTAAGTAGTATTATATTAATAGAAATTTGAAATATTAACTTCCTAATTAATTACTATTTCAATTGATTTCAGTGGGGTGATTGGCTTCTTGCTTTGCTCCACAGAGGGACAATTCGTTGACTTCAGAAATCCGGTCAACCCATTAGACCCCAGCAATAGTTACGGGGTAGCAAAAGAACCCTTGAAATTTTACAACCCAGAGGTGACCTCTTGAATTTATAACTATAATATTTCAATTCATTTTAGTTGATTAACCTCTCTCTCTCTCTCTCTCTCTCTCTCTCTCTCTCTCCATATATATTATTTCAGGTGCACTTGGCTGCATTCTGTTTGCCATCGTTTGCAAAGAAGGGGATGAATAATAATAATAATAATAATAATAATAATAATAATGGGTGTAAAGTGGGCAGCAATGGAGTTGGTACGATTTCAGCTGATGATGAGGGCACAAAACAACAAGTGAATATTCAAGAAGAAGACGATATTATCGATCACTAGAATTATTTTTTTTATACCACCATCCATTCCATTTCCATTTGCAATTCCATTTGTAATTCCGAACTTTATGTATGATTTGCTTTTGTGGGGTTCATTTGTCTGCTCGATTCATTCATTGTTTGCTCTGCATTTCTAAATGCCAAATTATATATTCAATTTCTCAATTTCTTTCTTCATGTAATTTGGCCATATATCAAAAGATGTCTCTTTTCTTCTTCTTTTTTATCGAATAGATCAAAAGATGTTTCAGTTTCAGGTATCCAACAATAGGTAAAGTTTTTTCTTTTAACCCCTTTCTAGGGATCTCTTGGCCCTTAAAGTCATATAAGACTTTATTTAAAGGGTAACGTTATCTTTTGGGTTACAAAATTTTAAAACTTGCTTTTCTTAAAAAGCTTTGCGAATTGTAATCAACCAGTTCACACGCCAAACAAACTTATAAAGACATGGACTAAGACACCGTTTTAGATTGCAGTTTTAAGTTGTTTGGTAAAAATAAAATATCATTATTATTTTAAAAGTAATAGCCTTTTAACAGCAACTTTTAAAGACAGTCTCTAAGTTGCTTTCAAAAGAAAATAGATGAGCCTTAAATTATATTTTTCAATTCTCATAATACTATCATTAATTTTTTTTTAAATGGCATTGGCTACCACCACCACTATCACACCTCCACCCTTACCACCACCTCCTCCACCTCCACTCCCACCCTTAAATTATTATTAAAGGTTTTTCTTTAACAAGATCAAGTATTTGTAAGATTGGTTCCTAATGTGACATGTATCTTTGTGTAGTATCTTTTGGTTATAGTCCTCTCAGACCATGGCAAGGTAGCTATCTTGGATGGTTTTCTTCAACTCACGGAGAGGGATGAGTTTGTTTACCAGGAAATGTTTTCTTCAACTCATATATTGGTCATTATATTTTTTAGACCAACTTTTTAAGTTTACTAACACCCATATAGTTGACCAATTTTGCTTCATTCTTATTTCTGGTCTTTTCTTCAGGTGTTGCTTGTTGGAGGGCGAGATGGAGGCATCTTGAGAGAAATATCTCGTCATTCGTCTGTCGAACAAATCGACATATGTGAAATAGGCACAATGATCATGGATATGAGCAAGCTAAATTTCTTCTAAATCATATATTTATCCCTCCTTATTGGCGGGGCCGGCATATTTCATAATTTGATTTAAAGTTACATCCTCTATATATAGTCTATAGCTTGCTTGTGGGATTTTCATGATGTTTCGGGTTTATAAGTGCTTTCTCCCTGAGGTAGCAGTGGGATATGAGGATCCCAGAGTGCAAGTACACATATCAAATGGTAAGACATTGATTTTTTGGTCTGCTGATAAGTCTCTGTTACTTGTTTTATATGGAGCTTGATTATTTAATTTTAACAAACGTGCAGGAGTTGAGTTCATGGAGACTGTTCCTCAAGGCACATATGATACCATCATGCTTGATGCTTTCCAAAACATGGGTATTTTCTCTTTTCTCATTATTGAACTTCCATCATATTCAAAATAACACAACTTGAAGATCGCCAAAGCATTCATTATGCTCAATGCCACACAGGTCCTACATCAAAAAAACTTTCTGACATCTTCTTGGAATCGGTTGCAAGGGCTCTTCGCCCCGGCGATGTTATGTCTACCCCGGCAGACAGCTTCTGGGATAAAGACTTTGTTCACTGTGCAGATACCATAGCAAACTGCCGCAAAATATTTAAGGGCTCTGTCAACTATGCCTGGACAACAATTCATGCATATGAAAGGCAAGAGGTCCTTTGCAATTAGAACTTCGCTGGTTATTTTACACTATTGCTGATGCATTTCATGGTGAATCTATTTTTCAGTGGGATAATGGGGTTCATGCTGTGCGCCACCGGTCGACTTTAAAGATCCCATCAATCAGTTAAACTCGGAAAACCACGGTGTGGCTAAAGGGACCTCCAAAATTCTTCAACACACAAGTACTGCTGATTTTTACTTTCCATAACTGTTTTTTAGCCTATTCTCTGTTGTTTTGGTTGCTTTATTGGGTCCCTAATGGATTTGCTTTCCTCTGTTTTCACTCTTGCAGATGCACAATGCTGCCTTTCAAGTGCCTTGTTTTGTACACAAGGCTCTAGGAAATCAAGGATAGCTCCTGTATATCGTCTGTGATGCAGGCGCATCTGACTGTTAGTTCTGCTTTGAATCGAACACGATCTCAATTCAATTGGACACCAAAATAAACTGAAATTGGTCCATTTCTTTTTCCCCCTTTGTATGATCTGTAATTCTAATGAAAAACCATACATTTCTGTAGATTCATGGGGTTTCGGTTTTACCAAATATCCAAAAATTTGAATCCTCACTTCTTCAATAAGTATTTAATGCAAAAGGGCTATCAGACAAAGAAACAAATGACGGAATTCAAGCTTCATCACAGTGGCTTACAACAAGGTACAACTACACTCAATAGCCTCTTCCAAATTCTATATGTATAGCTATATACAAGATAGTAATAAGATACAAAATTTGAAAAAACCCAACACATGAAGGTAGCAAGCTATGTAACAAAACTAACCGCCGTGGCAAGACCTGAGAATCTTTGTGTCATACAGGACCAAAACGTTCGATGTGAGTCGTGACTATATTGGACAGCAAAAGTGGGATTTTCTGTTTAGTAATATGTTTACTGTTATAGTGGAAGTTGCTCTGCTTGAAGATCTCTAGGGTGCATGGACAATATACACAAAAGGTGAGGAAGAAAGAAGTAGATGGCGAGAAACACAAGAACCCCAAGATCAGCCTCTTCACCAACTGCTGGTCGACGAGGATTAACCCAGTGTATTTGGCTTGCACACCATAAGCAATACAGGATTGCTACAATGGAAATCAGTGTCACTGATTGATATGATTGCTTATTAATAGACTTGTGAGGCTTAACCCTGCATGCCAAAACTATCGATCAACATAAATGTCAAGGACCTGCAAAATGCTAGGGAAATAAGAAACAAAATGTAGAGTGCCTCAAATAAACACCTGTTGATGTAAATAAAGCCGCCGATTAAGACAATGCATAAAAGGCCAACTACAACAACAGCATCTGGGTTAATCGGTGCCCGGCCCTTCCACCAACCAGTGCTCAAAATCCAAGTATACATTTTTGAATGCCCATTCTCCTGTGAAGGTTAGAGGGCGTACATGGTCCATCAATTCGATCATTCTTAACTCTCACAAAAAAGAAATCTCATATCCAAAATACATGCTGTGGGGGAAAAAATGCAAAAACTGAAACTACAAGAACTTGCCTTCATATATACCTATTCTTGCATATAGGCCCAACTCTTAAACATCCACTCATCCTATATATTTCATATCTATCTAGTGGATGTTAAACTACGACTCTAAACATACTCTATGGCAATATCAATCCCTTAATCATCCCAAGCTCAATGCTTCTCCATTGAACAACCTTCAAAGAAAAATCATTCTTACCTTTTCTAATTCTAAAACAAGAGTCTAGCTAGCATACCACAACACCAAGCATGGAAAGGAACGTTGAGCAGCAGAATAGCTCATTAACGTCTCTATATTACCTCAAACAAGTGGTCAAGGAAAAAGTGTGAAAAAGAACCAGCTGACACCAAGAACCAGCACTGCTTCCTAGTAAGGGGCACCTGAAACATAAAACACAATAAATTACGAAACCGCATTCAGTAATAGTTGTGCTATGTTTCATGATCAAAACAAAGTTTTGGTTTCGCAATGTTCATGATACTTTTACAATAAAGAAGTAGCTTAAAAGCATATAATTTAAAGGATTAATTGTAGCAATGGTCCCTGAACTATACCCGTAGTTACATTTTGGTCACTCTACTCCAAAAATAGTTGCAGAGGTCCCCCAATTATGTATGGTATTGCATTACTAATCTCTTTCGTCAAGTCTGTCTATTTTTCCGTTCAATCCATGGGTAAACTTGGAAATTCATTCCAAATATTTATAAAAACGAAATAAGAAAAAATAAATAAATAAAGGTTATATGTAGCAATGGTCCCTCAACTATACTCAGAGTTACATTTTGGTCACTCAACTCCAGAAATAGTTACAGAGAGGTCACTCAATTAGGTGCAACACAATACCTACCTAATTGAGTGACCTCTCTGTAACTATTTTTGGAGTTGAGTGACCAAAATGTAACTCCAAGTATAGTTGAGGGAGCATTGCTACAAATAACCCTAACAACCAAAACAAATCTCACTTAACAAGACAACCTAATTCCCCTAGTATCAAGTGTATGACCACTTTTTCAGGTGGTCTTCCAGGTTCCAGCTAATAAACTCAAACACATTACACTAAACTAACTATACACTAGCTTGATCATATAAATTACACAATTCAAAATTAGATGCAGAATCCCAATAAGGAAACAAAGGATATTTTAATTATTAAACTTATAATTAAACACATATTACCTTGACTTTCTACTATCTATATATATCAGGTGGAATACAACAATGAATAGAACCCATCTTCCTTATTAAGCTGCTCTTATGATTTCATGAGTGTCCAGACAAAACTCCAAAAATAGAAACCCCAAAAGATACAAGTTCAAAAACTCTTTCCATTTCCGTACACTGTGTCAGCAACCAGACAAAGGAGAAGAAACAGACAACTTACTCACCCGAGAAAACGAATCAAGAAGACGTCTTTGAAGCAAAACTCTAGAGACCCAAGAGTAGAGCAAACACAGAGGAAGACCCGGAAAGAGAACATAGTAAAAGGGGTGGTGGATTAAGTCGGCTAGCTTGGAGCCGAAGCCGAAGCCGAGGATGGAGTCGAGCCACTCAGAGAAGGATCCGATGTCAGGGCCAAAGAAGGCGTTGATGGTGTAGAAGAGGGTGTGGTGGGGGCTGAACCTGCCATTGCTGAGAGTGGTCAGAGCCAGGCCAGTGCCCATGGCGTACATGAGGTGCGGACCGGGGCCTGGCATGGCTGCACCACCTGGGTTTTGGGTCCTCTGAGGAGCTCAAAGCTGAGATTAAGAGCTCCTTGGAGTTTTGTTTGCCCCAAAATCCATGTCAGCTAAAAGCTCATTGGTAATGAGAGTTTGAGCTTTTGAGTTTCATTAACTCAAGTGTTTATTGAGGAATGAGAGACGGTTAATGTTGTTATTATGTTACAACAAGTGAGGGCTTTGGGCTTTTGGATTTTTTGAGATTTTGGGCTTTTGATGTGGTCATGAAAGGAACTTACCAACTTGGAAAGGTTTTGTTTTTGGGTTGAAGTTTCAATTCATTGCAAACCCTTAAAAAGGGCATAAAACAGTACAAACAAAGCCGGGCAAAAGCACCGACCAGAAAACAAACATGAACAAATCTAGCTAAAACCAGTACAGTATAGCATAAAGATCATATTCCCGAATCAAAAACTAAAACGTCAAAAGCCAACAAAAAGGCATTGAGCATGCATAAAGGCATATAGCCCACAAAGAAGCATTACGCCCACATTCAGCATAAAGCCCACATTAAACATAAAATACATAAAATAAAACACAGAAACCTGTTTGCCATAACCAAAGAGAAACTCCAAGCCACCACCAGCAAAGAGAAACTCCATGACTGTAGATGGACAAACCACTGATCACCACCATGAAGAATCAAACACTCGGAGATCAAAAAATCAAGCCAAACATCCCTCAAGTCGGATTAATTTTACAAGTCTTCTTCCATTGAAGGAAGAAAAGTCGGAAAACATTTGCTTTACTTTAGCCTAATTCCTTTCTATGAGCGTTATGATTGGGGTTACTTTTTTTGTTGTTGTTGTTGTTGTTTGTTGTTGATATTGTCAACGATGAAATAGGTAGGTAGCTATTGCTACAAGGCTATAATCTAGATCTAGTTAGGTGGATGGAGAGGAGACTTGACAAGGTCAAAACACTAGAAGGTAATTACATTTTATTTCCTTGTTCATTTCATTTATCTGTTTCCTAACAACCATTTCCGGTTCATAATGTGTGGACTCAATTAGCTTCAATCCGATCCATTTATGATCTAGGTTATATAAATTAATTTCCCACTCATTTAACAATTTGTCGTGTCATGCCCGAATGACCAATTCTAGGGTTGACACGGCAAAATCTTAATAAATCGTGTTCGTGTCAACACACATGCCTTTTTTTCTTCTTTTTCTTTTTTCGATTTCTTGTTTCTAGACTTATTAGAAGTCCTCAAACTTTTATGTAGGTCAAAATCTGTTGGGTCATTTAGCCCAACACATTGACTTTGTCTAGCCCAATGCTCGAGCCAACAAAGTCCACCCCAACACCAACACCACCCCCAACCCCAACCCCAAGTTAGTCTCTCTCCTATCTAGTCCTTTAAAATATATAAAAATTTAAATAAATAATTTTATTTTTTTTATATAAAAAAAAGAGTGTTACTGAGATAAGTTGTTGTGAGAAGCAATACCTATCTTGGAGCTGGTCTTGTCTGATTTTTCTAATCTCTTTAATTACCTCCAAATGCCACTTTCTTCTTCTTCTTTTTAACAACGTGGAATAAATAAAGAGGAAAACGTCAGCAAGAAAGGTGTCCAGAGTTGGGCAACGTCAGCCGGAAAGAGAGGATAAGATTTGGGATTGGAAAGGGAAGATACCAGGGGACTTGGGGCTTGGGGCTCCGGTGGGACCCACGGGTTTGTCAACTTTTCGGTCTTTTAACGGATAAGGACTGCGAGGCAGAGGGAGACCCCCCCCACTCCCCCTTTCTCCACACGCATTCACTTCCCTCCCCTTCGACACGACACGACACGACACTCCTCGGCCACCGGGACCACCAGATAACGCGGGCCCCATCCTCTTCCTTCTCCCATATTACAATACAATAATACAGTTGTTTTATTCAATTTATTTTGGAGATAATCTATCTTTCCTTTCCGTCTTTTCTTTTTCGGCTACGGATAATATTTGTTTATAGTTGTGTTTTTTTAAAAATATATTTGCTTCTTAATCTGAATATTCTCAGCGTCAATAAATGAAAAAAGATATGGATGTTCTCTCATAGAGTCATAGTCCATTGAAATGACCTATTCCAATCTTATGAATCAATGTATCAAAATCTAGTTTATGAATGTTCTCTTTCTTTCATCAATTATATAAATACTCTAAATTAGGGCTCGTTTATGAGTACTTTTGGGTAGCGAAAAGCGCTTTTAAATTAGTGAAAGAGCTTCTATATTTAAAAAATGGTGTTTGGCAAAAATTACAAAAGCGCTTTGGGTGAGATCCAAAAGCACTTGAAATGGTTTTGGAAGAAGCACTTGAAGTGGTTTTGGAAGAAGCACTTGAAATGTGTTTTTTCTTAAAAGCGCTGCAGAACAAAAATAAAAGAAGCACTTGGCTCCATTTAATGAAACTTTTAAAATACCAAAAATACCTATATTTAATTTTTCGAAAATGCCGATACCCTTTCTTTCTTTCTTTTTCTCTCTTTTTCTCTCCTATTAAAACCAAAACACTGCATGCGAAATGGCCATCAAACCCCAAAACACTCATGGAAACCTTTAAGCTTCTATTAATCCATTACTATCTTTACATTTCACAACTTTTTTAAGTCATGTTTTTATTTTGGAATCCTGTGAATTTTTATTTCCTATATTTATTATAATATTTTAGGAAATCACTTTTAAATGTGACATCCAAACGACAAACTATTTTTTTTATAGAAGCGCTTATGTCATAAGTTATACTAGAACAAGCGTTATTGACATAAGCGCTTCGAGAAGAGGCAATCCCAAACAAGCCCTTAATCTAGTGCTAGGGAGACAAACTTCTATTAATTGGTCATTAGCAATATTTTCCTATAGACAAATCATATGACTGTTTAACTTTGACTATATTGCATGCACTTAGTCAAGTTTGTTAGAGCGAGGATGTGATTCCTATTTTCCCTAGAAGTTCGAATATCCTTACCTGTAATTTAAATAAGATTAAAATATAATATCAATATAAAGATTTTAAGATTTAACATATCCCAAAATCTAACATCCCACCATAAAGTAACCTACCTCATTTTGAAATTCTAAATCTATCCGTGATTATCCTTGAATTCACGGATTAAAGTTGGCTTTCTCCTCCCCCACATGAGTTAATGAGATTAAAGAAGTTATAGGTGAATGGTTAAGGACCTCGCAATTAGTTAGTAGTGCACCTATGTATATTATAAACATATGTCCACACAATTCTCTCAAAAAGAAAAAGAAAAAAAAACATATATCCACACAATTGAATCCAAAATATTCCACGTAAGATTAAGCAGGTGGCTGGCTCTAGCTCAGGCTCTGAGGAAAAATCTTAGTTCGGGGGTGAAGTGGGCCCCATGGAGAACCAACCACAAGGCAGCAAGTGTGCACCACGTGGAAAATAAAATGTCAAAGTAACTCGTCCAAACGGAGGAATCGGTCTCCGAGTGTGAAAAGCCCGTACGAGAATGAGAAATCGAAGGAAGGAAGGAAGGAAGGAAGGAAGGAAGGAGAAGAAACAGGGTTGGAAAAGTTTGGCACGCTGGAATAGAATGGAATTGATGAAAAATGCCGTGCTGGAAGCTGGTGGGAATGGGTCCAAATCCAAATAGGAACAGGAATGGATTAGGATAATTTAGGATGAGGGAAAAAGCTTCACTAGCTCTGAGAGAGAGAGAGAGAGAGAGAGAGAGAGAGTGGTATTGAAAAGATCTTTGTCTCCTAGATTTTATCCGCATTGAATTGCGCAACTCCAGGGTGGACCTATGCTTTCTCTTAATTACATCCTTATGCCACTGCCTTCTTATTCTACATGAAATTACCCTTTCATCCAACGCTAAAACTTGATAAGCTTCAACATAGTAAAATAAAAATTATCCATTTGTAAAATTACAACATTTTATATATGAAAAATTATAACTTTTAGCTGAACGGATAATTTTTATTTATTTTAAAGCGGAGTTTTAATGCATATATAAAATAGATAAATTTTAAACACGGCATGATGATGTTACGATCACATTACAAAATAATTTCTCTTCTACTGATTACTCTTTTTTTGTTTGTTTTGTCAACATGACTTCGTAACATGTCTAGAAAGTTTTCATGTGTTGATTAACATATTCAATTAGGAATGTGACTTAATTATGGGCTTTGACCTAAGTTTAAACTTAGGCATACTAATCAACCAAGCAAGGCCAAAGCTACTTGAATTTGTCAACAACCAAGTCCAAGACGCACATGCATGTATCGTTTGATTGAGCTCCAGTTAAGTTTGAACTTTGAACATAATTTTGGCTTGTTAATTAAGCTGCGCAAATAATTGACTAAGCTTGGTTTGTTGGTAGCTCTATCTATAGTCTTTGGTTTGTTGGTAGCTCTCTCTATAGTCTATGTCAATTGTGGATCCCTTTTTTGGCTTTGAAATTTATGCCATGAAGCGAGCCTATCATAATCTAATTTTAAATTGAATATTAGATTAAGTGTTAAAAAAAAACCCAATAAAAAATTACATTGTTATGTATTGATGACACAATTTGCATGATTTTCCATATCGTTTTAGAGTAATTTTATGGACAAACACGTGGAAAATTCTTCTTACAATAAGTGATCTGATCCTCCCAAAATCACTCCCAAAAAAGCCTATAGTTCAATGCATGGATAATGTTTTACTCTATGAAAATTGTATTTTAATCTTAATTGCAATCTTTACTAACCAACCACATGAGCTCCATTGAAAAAAAATAAAAAAATTACAGTCATAGGGATCCAAGTGGAAAACAATTTAAATACGAGGACTGCCCTTTTAATTTAGCCAAAGTTTTTTTGGGTGTCACGAGTTATCACAGCGTGTCGAGTAGAAATGATTTTCCACAACCATACGGTGTCGTCCATGTGAAATTTCCACGCCTGTTGCACCGACTTACCCGCGCGTGGATATTTTCCCACCATTCAAAAATGGCGGTAAGCGAGAAGGTGAAAGCATAACGGAACAAAAGTGAAACAGTAAAAAGGGATAATTAAAAAAAATAACTGATCTTATCGAGATGGGTGACACCGTGACAAAAGGAGAATTACGTGGTCGAGCAGCCGCGTGCACTGTCCCTTCTCCCACCAAAATAAATGAGGTTGCCCACTAAAACTCTAATTATCAATATCCAAACCAAATAAACGAAAAAGGAAAAAAACCCTCTAATTATCTTTCCCTTTCTATTGTTTCCTGTCTAGTCAATTTGATCTACGCGTTTGAGGTGCTTTATACAGCTGTTAATCATTGCCTGGCTCACAGCTCATTTTGGTTCTGAGGTTCTTTACTTAATTTCTCAAATGCAATCTCCGATACAGTGACTGTTAACGATTGATACATTATGAATATTATATATTAATCATAAAGAACATACACATAAGTATTGCATTTTGTATCTCGTGTCATCTTATTCCGTCAATTTCTTCAGTAAAATCGTTAAGTTGTTGATGTGACATGAACATTCTGTTATTTTACATAGTTTAAAACACCACATAATTTTAATTTTTAATTTTTTGCGTTTCAATAGGTAGATGGGGTGTTTTTAGGATTTTACCAACATTAGAATTTTATTGTTTCTTAAGCAATTGCTTGTGTTGAAGTCCTTGAGCCTCGTCATGATCCTTAAGGCTAAGAATTTTCAATTTCTTTGTTAGTGATAATATAATAATGCTCGGATGAATATGACAATTGAAAGGTCACTTGTTGATTAATACAGAGACCACAAATGGTGGCACTTTTTCCATACACGTAGCAATCCAATTAAAAAAATTTGACCCAACACAAAATTTGTGGGCCTAGTCTTATGTTTATCCGCATGCAGGGGCTTATTTTAAAAACCAGGCGTCTTTGATTTCTTTTTATGGTATGAAGGGATGGTCAACTTTATTTAAATACAAAACAACACCACCAGTTGGTAATGCAAAGGACACTATTGGAAGGATAACATTATTTATGTAAATATTTAACTCTGCCTTTTTGGTACCTAAACAATTAGGTTTTAGGTAATTAACCCACAAAAGCCATTGTAATTAAGACTAGTCTTCCCAATATTGGACTTTTCTTTAAATAAAACTTTGTAGGCCAAGCTAGTTATCTAGGTGGGTAATAAGTAAAAATGATTCAACATTCTACTTTCAGAAATAGTTGGTAAACTAATTTGTGAACCCTATTTTTTTAATATTTTTATTTTTGTGTTAAGAGGATTATTGGCGGTTTTTTTTTAAAAAAAATTTATTTATAAATTTTAATTTTGGTAATGAGGATTAGTGGAGGGTTTGGTCGACTAAATTACGAATTAGGGTTTCTCACCTTACACAAAAAAATAAAATAAAATAAAATAAAATTTCCCATATATATATATAAAGCAAAAGTAGAGAATGGTGAAACATTCAAAATACCAAAAAATGTCTTTGTTAATGCAAACATTAAGAATTGAAATTATTAATTAAATGAGGATAATATGATAAATTCACACTTTTCATATTTAAAAAAATAAAAATAAAAGAAAAATCAGATAATGGATTCTATTTTTATGGAATACAACTACCCATTATCTTTTTTAATTCTAAAATAAATTAATTTTTTTTATAAAAAGCCTCTCTCCAGATAAAGACGATATAACATGTCAAATTTTCAAATGTATCACATAAGGTAGCGTAAGGGTAAAAATGAAATAAACTTGAAAAGGAAGGTGCATTAGTGAGAGAAGAAAGGCACAGGACTATAACGTAAGACCAACCCGGAGTTGCAATCCTCTCTCTCTCTCTCCCTCTCTCCATACATATCTTCTTTTTTGACTTTCTACGCCTATAATCTGTCTCTCAAGACTCCATGAGCTTCCTTTGTTGAACGAAACTATTTTAAAAAAAAAGAACAAACACTAAACCAAAACGGAGCCTCCATCCAAAATTCTTTTCCCAACATTTTCCACTTTCTTTCTTTCATATATTTTTTATATTGGTCAGTTTCGAAACCATTAAAAACTCTCACACATCTCACCGGTTTCCAACCTAACACACACCTCCTCCTCTTGGTCTCTTTCGCATATAAAAAATATCAAACACAGTCTTACATTCTTTCTTTCATTATATCCATATCCACCTCTGTCCCTGCATTCTCTCTCTTCCCGTCTCTCTCTGTAAGTTTGTTCACGGCTCTGAGCTGTGTTGTGGTTTTGTTTTTTTGTTTTTCTGGGTTGCTGAGAATTTAAGGGAAATCAATACTTGCGCTTTTTTGGGTTGTTGGAGGTTGACTTTATGATTCAGTTTCTGTGAAATGACACAGCTGTTTCTTCTCTTTTCATTATTTTTCTCAGAAACCAAACAGAGCTTTCTTTTCTGTTCTTTCTCTCTCTCTTTTTTATTTGGGTTTTGTTGAATGTCTAAATGTGCAAGGTATTTTCGCAGGAAATCTGTTCCGTACTGATATCAGATAGCTTTGGTAGAAGCTTTGTTGTTGGATCAATCTGACTTCATTTCAGGTTAACTACTCTGTTTCTCTCTAAGTACTCATGGATATGCATAGAAAACTATATCTAGAGAAAGATAAAATCTTGTGCTGAAAGGGTGTGTTTATGTAGCGTGGTATATATTAAATCGATAAAAGTTTGAGTCTTCAAGGAGAATTATTATCAAGAAACTTCGTGACATAACTAAACTGAGAAAAACAGAGCGCTTGCTAAAAAGATTGGAAAACAGAATAAGCTGCAGTGATAAGTAATGAATTTTTTTTAATTAAAAAATATATATTAATTTTACCTCTTCTGGTTTGTTGCGTGAGGATATCAATAATGATCAAAGATAAGGACGAATCCCATGAATAGCCAGATCAGATATGCATTGCATTAATTGGAAATTATTCCTTGCTTCCGTTATGTCTATGCAGATAAGCTCATGTTTGAAGTTGATATTTTTGGGGATAAAAATTAATTGCAAGTTTTATTGAGTCGGAGAATTAATTCCTTTCATATCACTGCTCCATGAATATACCTGGTGTTGAATTGAAATTTTGAGAAATCAATTTGAAGATCATTCTAATGGAGATTTTAGAAATGGCTTAGAATATAAGAATTAACGAAGCAGAATCTGCTCCCAAGTTAATAGCGAGGTATTAACTTTCATTTTTGTTACAATTTTTATCTTCCTTTCTTTACTAGTGTTTATTGTATGAAATTCGATTTTATTTTTCCGTGTCAGTAGGTTTAGATTGTTATAGGGTATGCTTTGATCGCTCTATTACCTCTGATTACTGTAATCATGTCATCATCTTTGCAAGTTTACCCATAAGTATGAAGAAGCAGATGTAACTTCCCACCCAAGACAGAAAATTAAAACAAAAGAATAGCAAATTTTTGTTCTTTCTAAAATGAGCAGTAGTAGAAAAATATCGTAGTACTCGGAGCAAGTTAATAATGTACTTTTCGTGAAAATCAGATAGAACTTGTTATACTGAAGAACTGATGACTGTAAAAAAATGGTGTTGTGATTAGAAATCTGTTCAATCTGCTGTGCTTTTTGAATTTCTTTTGTTCTCCATACTATACTCAATTGCCTGATGTGTAGTAGGGATAGGGATCAGTTTCTTTACCAATGACTAAAATTTCTGTTCCATGATAATTAATTGAATGTCTGGTTCATGGTTTGTCATTATTTTGCTTAGGGTACTTATAATTGTCTTTTTTTCCTGCCATTCCTATAGGTTCTTACTTCGCACAGGGTTCTTGGTTGTACATTATTTCGAACTCCGAGCCATTAACCTGGCATAGGAACGCCTAAGGTGTAATCATGTTCTCAAGATCTTGCATAAGTTTGTTGGAGTTGGCATCGGGGGAGATGTTGAATTTCCCTCAGACCCCTAGAGCCCTTACGAAGGTGATGACTCTTCAGGGAGTCATTCCTGATGCAAAAAATAGTGATGGGATTAATAATGAAGGTGTAAATGTTCCCCCTTCTGAGATCTGTGAGAAGAAAATCATAGTGGCAAATTTTCTCCCTCTACATGCTCAGAAGGATACAAAATCGGGGAAATGGTGCTTCAGTTTTGACGAGGATGCAATTTTGTTTCCACTGAAAGATTGTTTCTCATCTGGTACTGTGGTTATATTTGTGGGGTCTCTGAAGGTTGACATTGAAGCAAGTGAACAAGAAGAAGTATCCCAGAAACTGCTGGAGGAATTTAATTGCGTGCCAACATTTCTTCCTTCTGAGCTTCATAAGAAGTATTATCATGGGTTTTGTAAGCAGTATTTGTGGCCCCTCTTTCACTACATGCTGCCCATGTGCCCGGACCATAGCAATCGTTTTGACAGGCAACTTTGGCAGGCATATGTTTCTGCTAACAAGATATATGCTGATAAAGTTATGGAGGTGGTCAATCCTGAAAATGATTATGTATGGGTTCATGACTATCACCTTATGATTCTTCCAACATTTTTGAGAAGGCGTTTTACACGAGTTAAGCTTGGGTTTTTCCTTCATAGTCCATTCCCCTCATCAGAAATCTACAGGACCCTGCCAGTCAGAGATGAAATTCTGAGAGCACTGCTAAATGTGGATTTGATTGGTTTTCATACATTTGATTATGCTCGCCACTTTCTATCTTGCTGCAGTAGAATGCTTGGCCTGGAATATGAATCTAAGCGGGGATACATTGGACTTGAATATTTTGGCCGCACAGTGTACATTAAAATTCTGCCTGTGGGGATACACATGGGTCGACTTGAATCTGCATTAAATCACCCCTCGTCTTCCGTGAAGGTCAAGGAGATTCAAGAACAGTTCAGAGGGAAAAAGATTATTCTTGGTGTTGATGACATGGACATATTTAAAGGGATCAGTATGAAGTTATTGGCCATGGAACAGCTTTTGCAGCAGCACCCGGAGTTCAGGGGCAAGGTAGTCCTGGTTCAAATTGTAAATCCTGCAAGAAGCACAGGGAAAGATGTTCAGGAAGCTAAAAAGGAAACATATTCAACGACCAGAAGGATAAATCAAGTCTTTGGTTTTCCAGGCTATGAACCAGTTGTTTTGATTGACCGTTGCGTTCCTTTTCATGAGAAGACTGCCTATTATTCTTTGGCAGAATGTTGCATTGTTAATGCTGTGAGGGATGGCATGAACCTAGTCCCCTACAAGTACATCATTTGCAGGCAGGGCACTCCAAATATGGATAAAGCTGTTGGATTTGCCTCTGATTCCCCTCGTACAAGTACACTTGTTGTCTCAGAGTTCATAGGTTGCTCACCATCTTTGAGTGGAGCAATCAGGGTGAACCCGTGGAATATTGAAGATGTAGCTGATGCACTCAATGTGGCCATAACAATGCCTGCTTTAGAAAAGCAATTGCGCCATGAGAAACATTATCGGTATGTTAGCTCTCATGATGTGGCTTACTGGTCCCGCAGTTTTATGCAGGATCTGGAGCGAGCGTGCAAAGATCACTACAGAAAACGTTGTTGGGGAATTGGTTTTGGTCTGAATTTTAGAATCTTGTCTCTTTCTCCAAGTTTTAGGAAGCTTTCCATTGACCATATCCTCTCTGCATACAAGAGGACAAATAGAAGGGCAATATTTTTGGATTATGACGGAACAATAGTGCCTGAATCTTCTATTGTTAAGACCCCAAGTCCTGAAGTCATTTCTATTCTGAAGAACCTTTGCAGCGACCCCAAGAACACTGTGTTTATAGTTAGCGGCAGGGGTCAAAACTCTCTCAGTGAATGGTTTGCTCAATGTGAGAATCTAGGTATAGCAGCAGAGCATGGATACTTCATAAGGTAAGTTCTCACATGTATAAATTAAGTTTCAAAACTACAGATAATTATTTAAGAATTTTCCTTTGTTAGATTAGTTGTTTCCAGGTAAAAGTCTATACTTAATTTTGATTCCACATTACTTTTATTTTCTCATAGATGGAGTAGCACGTCCAGCTGGGAAACCAGTTCCTCAGCCATAGATTTCGAATGGAAGCAAATTGCAGAACCTGTGATGAAGTTGTATACAGAGGCAACTGATGGCTCCTACATAGAGACCAAGGAGAGTGCCTTGGTCTGGCACCATCTAGATGCTGATCCTGATTTTGGATCATGCCAGGCCATGGAGATGTTGGATCATCTTGAAAATGTCCTCGCCAATGAGCCTGTAGTTGTTAAAAGGGGCCAACATATTGTCGAAGTAAAACCACAGGTATTTATGTTCTCCTGTTTCTTCCCTCTCTTTTGCGATTCTGTATTCTTCTTGTGGCCTAAAGGATGTCATTTGGCTTATTCACACTGCAGGGAGTTACTAAAGGATTAGTTGCACAGAAAGTTCTTTCCATGATGATCAGTAATGGGAACGCGCCCGATTTTGTGTTGTGCATTGGGGATGATAGATCAGATGAGGACATGTTTGAAAGCATATCAAGCACATCATATAATCCATCTCAACCTGTGGCTCCTGAGATCTTTGCATGCACTGTTGGCCAAAAACCCAGTAAAGCTAGGTACTACCTAGATGATACGGTGGATGTCATCACATTACTTAAAGGCCTGGCGGCTGATTCAAGTCTCAAGCCAAGGTGTAATTGGGAAATTCAAGCTCCTTTCGAGAATATCATGTGAGCCATGCGTAGGGTAGAGGAGCACATCAGTGTCGCTAGCTTGGATGGATGTTTTTCTTCTGATGATACAAGTATACAAAAAGCAATCAAAGATTAACTCTTGGAGTTTTCATACTAACTTATTTTTTGCATGGTGGAAAGCCAGACATGATGCTGCTCTGGTTATTTTCTTCCCGGAGAGGAAGACGATCACAAGCGATTACTGTGGATATGGTGATGTCAATGGTGAATGTCTAGCAGTTTTATGTGTTAGTGCCATGGATCCGAGGGGGATTTACCTTCTTAGTTCACAGGTCAAGATTTTCTTTTTATAATGGGTAGTTTAAGAGATACAAGGGCATCATTGGTATGTAAATTTAAACTGGCTTTGTAGTTACGTGATACTTAATTCTTTCATGAAATCATAGTTCTTACTGCAATTGTCTCTGTTCCCGTACTCCTTGCCATCTCAATGCCAGTCAAATTCCCAAAATTTTGATTTGTATGAGATGTTAGCATTTTAATAGGTTTTAAATTAATTTTAGATACTTAATCCTCAAGGTACAAATTAGATTAGAATATTATTTTACTAAATTAAAAAAAAATTGAAAAAAATTGACTTGTGGTCAATCTCCATCGAATCCCAGAGGAAAGGATAAGTCCATAGCCGCTGGGTTTTTTACTTTGCAGAGTCGCACTCCAATTCTCGCACCAAAGGGAAAGACTGTAGAAAAGTGAAAATGGCTCCTCGTTGTTTCGCTCTGTTCACCATTTTCGTCTTCGCAATCATTCCTCATATTCAGGTCTGCGTCTAAACCTTAGACCTCTTTTTGTCACCCGAGAAAATACCTAGAAAATGAAATAGTTTGTGTGTTTCAAAATTCTTCTTTTTCCTCTGAATTTTTGGCAGCTAAATTTGAGTAACCAAGTGCTTTGCTTTCAGTGTATAGTTTACGCGGGTGGTTTTGTGCAGGGTATCGCGACCAATGATCAACGTGCGCAGATCTCCGTACGCTCTTCGCCATTTGAAACAGCCCTCGCAGTCCTTCAGGAGCAAATTGGGTAAAGTTCCTGTCTTTTCCACCCTTCATTTTTGTGTTTCGATTCTGGATCATTGACTCTGTTTGGTTTCTGAGAAAGTTGAGGAAAAAGAAAGGAAAACTTAGCACTGTTATCTCACCCTGCGTGGCTAAACATGTACACATAGTTTGGATTTCTCAGTCATTAGATGGTTACTTTTGGACAATATTGACGAATAATCACTGCATTGAAACCAAACCAACAGCTTTAATTATCAAACTTGATTTCATTTCCAGGTTTTTGTATATGTTTGATTGCGTGTGTGTTTGTTTGTTAGTGTTTGTGTGACACTGAAGAAATGGACTCTCTTTCTATGTTTTTCAGCTATAAATTCCGAAAACCTGGGCTTCTTCGCCGTTCAATGACCCATGCCTCTTTCTCTGAAGAGAATAACAGGGCTCTGAGCATTTTGGGCGCCAATGTCATAGAAACATCAGCCTCTCTACGACTGCTTGAAAAAGACCTTGAGATTTCTGCAAAAGAATTGAACCGTCGTGTTTCAGAGCTATCCAAAGTAGAATCTTCCTGTGCCGCTGACGGGTTGCGCTTGGGATTGCATAAGGTGGTTAGAGTCTCTCCCAAGACTAATTCTACCACCCCTTTGGTGGTTTGTGGGGCTTTCAGAGCAATATTTGGCGCTATTGCTATTGATTTAGGGAAGTCCGATGATGCTGGAAGCTATTTCTGGGGTGTTCATGGCGGTCAAGTTGGCGGAGCTCTTGCAATGTAAGCGCGGCTCGCTCAATATCAGCTGTCAGAAGATATTATACTTAATAGTATTAAGCTGCTAGTTGTGGAATTGAGTTTAGTAGCAGTAACAGTATGTGCTTTGTTCTGCTGTTTGTTAAAATGGTTTAAAAGTGTGTGTGTTTTAGGTGCCCTTGTCCCATACAATATTATGTTACTGTTAATTTCGTTTGTGTGATTGTTTGATCAAGGAAAGGGTGTTTCTGATCTCAGATACTTATAAATTGTGCTATTTGTTTCCTCTTTACCATATGTTATGATCATATATAACAGGTAGTCAGCTTTGTTTGAGATTTGTTTTCTGGGATTGATTACCTGCCTTTCCTTCATTCCGTTTGAAATGTTGGTGTTTTATATCTAGAGAAGATGCGGGAAATGAAAACCGTACTGATTCTTTAATACTCCCGGATGTTATGTGTTGCCATTTTCTTTGGCATAATTGAATCTGCATTTTACAATTTCTGAACTTGAGAAAAAATGGGTTGTTAGAAAGCAGAAAATGCTAACTTGCAATGGAAATGCGCTTGTTCTGATCTTGTATTACTTGATCCACCATCTGGGACCTGAATATATTGGACACAGATAAGCTAAGATCAACTTGGTTTGAGCTTTTCTTGGCCAATGTTGACTGGTGAGGAGTCTGGCCATATCATGGCCTCGGCCATGCAGCAATTCTTCTTCAAAGTCTTTTCTTTCTACTGATGCCTTTGAGCCTTACTGGCTTTTCGTTTCCTTCTCTTTGTAGCTTATTTGCAAAATGTCATGGTTTAGGTTCTTTTTTTCCTTTTTTTTTTTTTTTTTTTTTTTTTTTTTGGAAGATAAATATTAGGTTAGGAAGCCTGACTGATGTCATTTTCAGTTTTGGGGTGTGGGGTCAATGTGATTGCATTGGTCCTAAGACGAGGAAAATATTCTCCTCCTTGTAGAGAAACATAAATCTCAATCAATGTGGTAGGGGCCAATATAAAACTTCTCAAACAAGTTTGATTCCAATTAAAAAAACTAAGAGAGAGAGAGAGAGAGAGAAGAAGGGAACAATAATGTAGATAATGGTGGAGTGATTAGGCGAGATCGGCGCTGGCGTTGATTCCTTAATCACCATCCATCAGGTTTCTGATCGATCCCACCTAAGCATTGGGCCCCACTGGGGCCCCCCACACACCAGACCAAACGTCACCTACAAGTTACAACGGCCTAATTCCCAAACGCTGCCTCTAATTTTGGGATTTTTTTTCTTTCCATTTTCTCAATTATAAGGCAAAACCGGAACAACTAAAAAACGACAAGTCGTTCTCGATACAGATAGTCAGAGTGGTCACCGCCAATTGCCGGTCACTTGATATGTTTCCGTTACAAACTTCCATTTCTTCTCTGAGCATCTTTTATAAAACGCACACGCACACCGTTTTACAGAGAGAGACGCAATTGCTCAATTGGGGGTTTTCCTCAGCCTCCTCTCTCTCTTTTCCTCTTGTCGTCTGTACAGCCATGGAAGAAGTTGACTTGGAGTCAATAGGCCACGGAAGAACCAGTTCGCGCTGCTGCTTCTGTATCCCGGCGTCGTCGGCCTGGTGGGAGCGGATGCGAGCGAACCAAAACAACGACCGCTGGTGGTCCCGAGGCCTCAAAGCCTTCTACAAGCTTCGAGAGTGGTCCGAAATCGTCGCCGGCCCAAGGTGGAAGACTTTCATTCGCCGATTCAACCGGAACAAAAGCGGAGGCGGCGGCAGCTCCGGTGCTGGGCGGCACCACGGGAAATTCCAATACGACCCCTTGAGTTATGCTCTGAACTTCGACGAAGGCAAGGAGGACGAAGACGACGAAGGCGGCGGATTTCGCGATTTCTCGACCCGGTTCGCCTCGCTTCCTCCGGTCAGGTCCGGGTTACCAGAATCGAGTAAAGACGTGGCGGTGTACGGGTGAGTGAGAAAGCGCCCGGAGGTGTTGTGAAGCATTTGATTGCTGGAATGGCCACTCAATGAGCTGGCTGGATGGTGGAAGGTTGACCGAGACGCATGACGTGGCGCCGTCAGTTTTCCTTTATTTATTTATTTATTTTTGTTTGGTTTTCGATAATGTCGTTGTAGTAATTTAGATAATTTTTTATTGTTTTAATTTTGTTTTTGATGGTGGTGGGTGTACAAATTGTCAAATACTATGACAGATAATGGACCAATGATGATGATTGAATGAGAATGAGGATAAGCATGCGTGTATGTTTCTTCACTACGGACTAATGATTAATAAATTTACTTATTCCTTAGTGAGATATTTAGTCATATGCCAGTTCTTAGTATTAAAATTATAAATAAATTTTACACCATTTAATTTTTACAAACAAATTCAAAAAATAACAGCTATTTTTATTGAATTTAATTTAATTATTAAATTACTTTAATACCCTATTGAGTGTTTTTGGTTTTTTTAATAAGGTTTTTGAGTTGGGTTTGTTTTAAGAAATCAATCATAGTTTTGTGATTTAAAAAAAGTTAAAAGCTTATGTTGTAAATAAGTTTTGAATGTGTTTCTAAAGTTCATTTCATATAGAGTTTTTTAAAATAATTTGGGCTCCTATATTGGGTATTATAGTAAATCTCCCTTTATTATTTGCTTGCAATTTTATTACAAGACAAATTTTGACTAGGATGCAGTTGTGATGTCGTTTTCTTAAACAATTAAAACTAATCGTAAACTAGATTGCAGTGAAATTATTTCATCATTTTGGGACCCTTGTTGTGAGACCTAGGATTATTCTAGCCTTGTAAACAAAGAAACAATTGCTTAATATATTTTGGCGACTCCAAGCCGTTGATGCATATCCCGACTACCCTTCGCATTGATCCATATTTGAAAATGAAAAAGTTTAAATGGTTACAGGACACCTACTAAAATGATGAGAGAAACTAGACTAAAATGGTTGTACACATAAACATACAACATAAGCCGCTAGAAGGCGCACCTATAACCACAGAAAAACCTGTTTAAGTACATGGTGCTCTGCTCTATACGTCTATATGTCCTTTCTTGCATTATTCACAGCTTTTATGTTGAGTAAAATATCACCTACAATCCATGGAAAGCTCAAGCAGTTCATGTCTTGTTGGAAATACGATGGATGATAAGTGACATGATACCATGCTGAGGCCATTCTCTGATGCTCACTAACTGGGCAGCTGCTTTCAAACAATCCTTTTGCTTCTTTTTGTAGGTTCTTGAGTGACAGCGATATCCGATCCTTCATATCTCCATATCTCCTGTTATCGCGTTGCAGATATGCTGCACGATTTCGCAGATTACCTGTCAGTATTTCATCCTCGGTCACTGCCCCATAATAGTTCATTATCGTCCTCATCTTCTCTATGTACATGTCTCTATGACCTTTTGCAACTTCGAGAACCGACTCGAGACCATCCACTTCAAGGTCCTGATCGTAAGCTGCTTCAGCAATCTGCTCTGACCAAACCAAGTTTGTTTTTTCTTGCAACACTGAGCCAACGACTGCACGGTAGAGTTTTCCTAGTGCCCCATTTGAGATGTACATGGGTTTGTCCACCCGTTCCATGAAATCTGGAAATTCTTTAGGTTTTAAGGTCCGGGACATTTCGGCTGGTGCACCAGTTTTTGCAAAGTCGACGGCCATGGAGTGCAGGTCTGCCAACTGCAGGCATTTTGGATTCAAAGCTTTGTCTGGTTCATGGTCAGCGTGAACTAGATGTGCAGTAGAGATGGCACCCAAATTATCATTTATCATGTAATCAACAAAAAACTTTTGAATTTCCTGCATATTCAAGAATGGTTAGACAGAAACGACAATTAGATTGGCAATGTATTTTGAAGTTCATATTCAATGCCATATGGAGACTGTTTACTCAATTTTGGAATTTACCTCTAAGGTCACAGTGTGATCCATTATACGAGGTCTCCGTGCAGAGTAGTCCATGGGAGGTACAGTATGAGAAGGGACCAGATCTTTATCCCAACTTATGAAAAACAAGTCCCCATCAAGATCACCCCCTGAACATTCATTTGGATGAGGCCTGCGAAAAGTTTCCCAACCACATTTACTATATAATTATACACTATGGACCATTTTACAATATATTGCTTTAACAACATCCAGTTCAATTGATTTGAGCTGAGGAATCACACAATCTTAGGAAGTTACACAGATTGAATGAAAGCATGAAAGTATAAATGTAAGACTAATCTGCCAGAAGGAACCAGATCAAACACATATATGTCGTTTTATCCTAAAGCCCAGTTCACCTGATGCATTACCCAAAGACCAGCTTACCCAGGAACTTCACTTCCACTTACACATAAAAAATATAAAATCAAATAAGCTAACCATTTCTCAGAATCAGATGCTGTGTTTCACCTAATAATGATGAGGAAGACAGTGATGAATGGAATGAAGATAATTGTGTACTAATATTTCCATATAAAATGAAATATCTGAAAATGTGCACAAATGTTTAATAAAAGATATTTACAACTATTCGGCCACCTTAAATTTTTAATCCCTTAACATATCTGGATAAAACTTATGTCTAAAATATTGAAAGTATCTTGATATTTTGGTGATAATTTCTTATCTACCAGAGATGATATATTAGTGTTAATATGATAATTTTGGTTTTTGGAGTAATAACCTGCTGCAAGCATTGCAGCAACATTGTGCATGCCTGCTGTGTGCACCAGCAGATGCGCATAAAAATGGGCTTACTTGAGGGGCTGGGGGTTCGAACCCCAGGCCATCCAAGGAGGCGACGGCCACTCTGACTAACCTGTCTTTTGTTTGCAAAGCTATTTATTATACTTAATAACTAAAAAGAAAACTTGCAGCTAAAAGTTATATGCATGTGCTATAAATAAATGACTGTTAAAATGCTTAATCTTCTCTGGTGTTACTTATTTTTTGATATTGTTGTAATTACTTAGCATATAAATATTACTAGTTCGTAAATATGCAATTTGTATCATAAAAACTATGAATGATTATTTGATTGGCCAGGAATTGATTGCATTACGTAATTTTATAAACTTTTCAATGCATGAGTTGTGATACATGTATGATTAAGCATTTGAAGAACTCTATGTGGTACTAAGTTAATCATGTAATGTACCATACACGTATTCCAAACTGTTATATTCAGTTAGATTTCAACGACTACTTAATCGTTTTCAGACAATAATGTCTGTCCAGGCATACTGCATTCCTCCTAAACAATATAATCCAATTATACACACAAGTTCAAACCGAGTTTTTAGTCAAATAAAATAGATAATCGATTGAATAAACATCTCAAAAAATTTGTGCTTTCCTTATTAGTTTCCATAATTTCTCTCAGAATATCACCGATGTCAATATTTTCGTGTTTTCCACCTCTTGTCTACATGATATTTAATACATTGGATAAAATTAGAAAGAGTGAATTATACATGGAAAGGAAAACAAAAGCAATAATTAGGTCACAAGCATAACATAATTAGTAAAACAATAATAGATAAGATTCAAGATGAAACAAATGCATTAATAGTGTTATGTATACCTTTCTCCTTTTTGGGGAAATATAAGGCAATCCACCATATTCTTCTCCTCGAGTACCACATCATAGACAGCGTCAAGTACCCTGACATCTCCTGGGTGAAGACAAGGATTTTTTGTGACAACCACCTTCCCTGTTACTATACATGTTGTCTCATCCACCTTCTGGAAGAAACTCTGATCCCCCATTTCTTGCTCTGCTTTTGTCATGGTTATTCGAACATAAACTTGACCATAATCTAGATTTCCCGTTTCATCCAAGCACCCAACCAGGACCCGGCCTTTTGGGACAAATATTCGGCATCTACTTTTTAAATCAGACAAGTGGTTCTCATAATATGCTTGAAGCATCATTGAGAGGTAAGGTTCCACATTTGGCTCATAACCATGAAGTAACATCTTTACAAGAGTATTTTTGGAATCAGCCCCATTCAATCTCTCTAAGACATTCAATGCCGCGCCTCTTTCTGTCCGCATTTTCCCCAGAAGACGCAATTGTTCCTCTTGCAATGCCTCAAATGTTTCATCCTTTACCCCTAAGGTAGACATGAGGGAAATAATCTCTCGATTCAGATAGCAGGGCATGGCATCACTCCATTTGGTGACATTAAGCATTGTATTTTTTGATTCAAATTTGAGCATACTGCTACGCAAAGATAGCTTCCGAAAGGAACGACAGTCAACAGCTATCACCCCTTTATATCCACCATATCGAATCTGAAATGCCGAAGGAGTTTGATCCAAACCGCACTTCTGAGCAACTTTCCTGGCAAAAGATAGAGAAATCTTTCCAATACCATCTGAGAAGCAGTAAGTTACACCATCCAAAGAAGTCTCAACATCAGGAATAATCTCTACATCTTGTGCAGGAACAACAAGAGTTTGGGTAGAAGAACTGAACAGTTGACCCATCCTAGCTGCACATTTAGATATACTGCGGATCTTGCTGAAGCAGCCCATCCAGTCTCTAATATCTTCTGCTTTTACATTGTCATTAGAAGAAAACATCCAAACGGAACTCGATCGAAGTTGACTAGCCGAGAAAGCCAGAAACTCAAAATTTTTTTCTCCTATAACAATCCCATCTCGAAGAATAGACAACATCCGATGATATATTCCAGTTCTATGGGGTTTTGCAAAAATACCTTGCTGAATACTTGTGGATATAGCATTTGCAGGAAGCTTACTCCAATCTTCATCAACAAATGTAACTCTCATAAAATCCGAAGCATAGGCTGCAAAATTCTTTACAACATAGTTTGATTTTTCAAGCTCAGGACCTAAGCAACAAATCTTTGATGGGGTAATTAAGACTCTATGACAACTCATTACATTATGTTCCGTTAATCTTTTATAGGGTGAGGGACGACTCTTATGGTTTCTTTCTAAGACATGTAATTGCATCTTTAAGAATGATAGAGGGTCATAACAAGTGGTCTTGCGCTTGTGCAGCTTCTCAAGAAGCACATTTGTAGTGTCAACGCTTAAACCACTAAGGAACTCAATCAGATCAGAGTCTGTTGCTGCAAGACTAATCTTTTGGGAATGAACAAGTGCATTGAGCTGGAAAAGGATCTCATATGGTAACTTTGAATCTGATCCGCACTTCACAAGTGGAACTGTCTCAGATGGCGAACAGTATTTTTCACCATTATCTAAAATGAGATCCACCACATCATTATCTTTATAGTATGGGAAGCATTCAAATACATCTGAGAGAGAAAACTCCTCCTCAATCTCCCAACAGAATGAAGTAGAATACCCGACAGATTTCATATCCGAAAAATCGGTAGTTCGTACCCAGAGGAAATCGAAATCATCCTTGCATACGTGATACCGATCAGTGCTAAATCTGGCAGCTACATTAGGTCCAGAAATTTTACGAAAGATCCTCGGACCAAACTTGAGCTGATAAATTCAAAATGCTTTGTGTTAACATATTATCCGAATCACACTAATACCAGTTACTCTTAAACAAACCATACAAAAGCAGCAATCTCGCAACAACAACAAAATAACTAAAGACTTCAACTTTCTCTCATTGTAAACAAAAAAACCCAAAAGAAACAAACAGCAGGCATCACATTCAAATTCCTTAAGAATTCTACAAACCCAGAAGAGAGAGAGAGAGAGAGAGGAAGAAACAGTCACCTTCAAGAGAAGGGCATTCACTTTCTCTCCACCCAAACGGCACCCGAACGACTCCATAATATTCTCAAATGCAATCTCCAGCTTATAACACTCGTCTCTCAGCCAGACCCAGAACTCGACCCGCTTCCTCTCGGGCATGACCCAAGCTCTCACGCCCTCCCAAGACTCCAACATGCTCATGCAGTCGCCCTTTACCATAAAACCCGCATGCAAAACGGTGCCGTTCAGTCGGCGTTTTGGGTCCACCGGCCGTTGGATGATGTCGTCGTAGGTCTCGGAAAGTCTGAGGCTTTCGGACTTGAAGACGAGGCCGTTCTGAAGGGAAAGAGAGTATGCTTCTGATTTGGCCTCAAAGGTCGTGAACTGGACGCGACCGAAGCCTCGTGACTTCCAGTTCTTGTGATCGCTGATGATTTCGACGGCGAAGACTGAGTCAGGCCCGAGTTTTGACTCGAGGAAGCTTAGGAGCTCTTTGGCTGTCACTGTTTGGGGAATGTTCGAGACTCGGACAGTCGGTCTCTCTGCCACCGCCATTTTCAGAGAGAGAGAGAGAGAGAGAGACTGTCAGACTGAGACAGTGTGATGGAGAAAGTAGAGTGAAAAAGGAAGAGGAAAGGAGAGGGAGGAAGACAAGAAAACGACGACCCGTTTTTGCCGAGGAACCCAAAAACCAACTGGGTTTCCAAGTCCAAGGTCATCTTTTGTTTCGGTGCTATGGGAGGCCCAAACAAACTAAAAGCAAGTACCTTTAGCCCAAACCCAAATTTGAATCATATATGGTGAGCCCATTATTGTTTCCCAAAAAGCTAGTTTGCTTCTCGTGATCTTTTGATAAAGTGCTTTGTTCATCACGATGAGATTGCTGCATAATGAAGGAAAGTAGTAAAAGGCTCTGATCATTTGTCCCTTTCTTGTTGTGTTTGATACTTTGATTATGCTCTTTTCTGCGTGTTTCTTGCTTATGAAGAACCCAAAGTAAACGGCTCTTGCTTTCAAAAAGAAACGCTTACGTGGGTTTAGTTTTTAGATCATAATTCCCATTTTCTTTATCTGGTCTGGACATTGCTAAATTGAACTTACAAGTAATTAAGCATCCGTGTGTACAATGAAAAAGAAAGTAAAAGGCATACTTCTAAGCTTAATTTTCAGTCATACATAACATACACTAATTATACAGCTCACGTTTCATCTGATTGGAGAACTTAATCTAAAAGGAGGTACACCAGTAGCATTCGAAGAACCTGGGAATCGGTTTTTCGAGGACCAAAGCCAGATCTTTGAAACAGAGAAGCTCTCACCCTTGTGCCGGCCACTGATTTTCTTCCCCTCCAGATTCCCATTAACTGTGAAGTTCCCATTATGAACTCCCTCTTTGACAAGCTTGGCATCACTATCTCCACCATAATCATGGGACAAGGCCACTTGCAGATTTGAGTCACCAACCACATATTGATATGTACCCATTGAGTAACATCTCCTAGCATCCAAATTACAGCTACTGGTTTCTCCCACTCTCCCTCCACTTTCTACTCCTTCATTTAAGCTTCTGAACTTTCCAAGTCTTACAGAAAATACCCTCTTTTCACCAGCAGCTTCCTCCATAGTTAAATGTTTCTGACCGCTTGAACACATGTTCTCTCCCTCACTAACGAACCTATTTGACATTTCCCTAGCATCATCAAAATTGAACACTGGATTTTCCAAGAAAAACCCAGAGCTCAAAAGGGTCCCTCTACAAAGGGGGCATGTTGAATTTGAGAGGAGCCAAGTGTCAATACAATCAATGTGAAAAGCATGACCACAGTTAGGGAGCAATCTCAGCTTGTCCTGGTCAGAAAATTCACACAGACAAACAGCACAATCAAATGGCTCTTTTGAACCAATAATGTCTTTGCAGTAGAACACAGGTAGAGAATCTATGGCAGTTTGATCTAGGCCCGCGTCATGTAACCGAAAGAGCTGTTGAAGCTGCCTTTGAATAGCACGAGACCCAGAGGTTTCTGGGTATCTATTGGATTGAAAGATTGAGGAAGATGACCTCTTTATGAGAAATCTTACAAGCAAATGAACAAGGCCAGAGATGAAAAAGATAACAGCTAGAATTACTATAACCAACAGAAGTACTGGACTGATATTGCTAAGAGATGATGATGATGATGATGATGATGAAGAAGGGGATAATTCCTGTCCATTGTTAACGCTAACAGAAGGAACTGAAAATGAGGAAGGTGGTGGGTATACCAAATTACCATCTTTCTGGTTCAACCCACAGAGAATTCTAGACATTTTAGGAGATGGGTATTGCTCAAAAGCAACTATTTTTACCAGGTTTTCTCAGATTTAGACACTAAATTCCTCAACAAAGTGCACAATTTTTGAAGACACTATAAACTTGCTTTGAGAATACAACAGAAGAAAGGGTGAGCAAGCTAAAATGCAGAATTAAGAATGTAATGCTAAGGTGAGAAATCTAATCAGATTAAGTATTCATATATGTGAACAAAAAGATTTTCCTTGTGGAAAATTGAGATATTAAAAATGGGTTCTTGAAGAATCATGTAGCTGGTAAAATTGCAAAGGACCTACCTTTAGATATGGAGGGTGCGAATGGAACCATAGCTAGAATTGGAGGAGACCGTCCGGTTTGAATTCTTTTTGCACCACAGAAGAAGTAGCAGAAGAAAGATTTTTAATTCTGTTTGTGTTTTTTGATATATACAGAAGGGTCAGGGTAGCTTATAGACTGGAAGAAACAACTACGAACTGTGGAGATTGGAGAGTGAGAAAAGGCCAAGGGGGAGTTCTTTTGAGCCCATTGCAATAACAAAAAAACCCTCCAATTTGAACTATTTTAATGGGCCCAGAGTAAGCAGTTTTGCAGAAGGCACACGTTGCTGAGGTGATGAGGGATCACAATCACAGCTTTTGTCATCAACTATAAATGTAGTGTACCAAACCAGACAAGCCTAAAAAACTAAGTTATGTGGGATTAGACGTATGTCACAAATCTAATTAAAAATTGAAAAGCTGGGGGAGGGCCACCACCCAGTTTTGATTGTCCAAAGTGGTCAGTGTGACTTATTTTTCATCAAAACAAGTAAACAAAATGATCATCTTTCAATGATGATATACCCTATGCCACTCCCTGCTAATCAGGCAATTTCCCATCAATCCTGGCAATTTTCCAGATTAATGGTCAAGTGGGTAAGTGGCAGAATTGGTAGAAAGTTATGTGTCCATGCAAATCTCCCAACCTACCCTACTGTATTTTGGGTCTGAGCCAGAGTGAGTGAGTGACCAAACCAAACAAGCTTTGGATCTGATGACAGAAAAAGAAATCTCAAAGGGGTGGACAAAAGCAGATGGTAGGGTCACATTTGCTTTTCCTTGCACGTATAGCACCAAATCGTATCCATAATTGCACCCACTAAACACAGGTGATTATAACTAATCATGTTTTTTGGTATTTCTCTAATGGTTTGACAATTCTGTCTGATGTTAGTTGATAACTAACCAGCAAACCAGTCAGAGAGTTTTGTTGTGCATTATGATGATAATGTTCTTGGCCAACCTTTCATCCATGTCAAAATCTTTCATCCTCTCTGACAAGTTTTATTCTTTTTAATTTCTTTGTGGTCACTGTTTTTGGTCATCCATGACTATAGGAGTGGCGCAATTGCATAATTATACGACACGTTTTCAGACGTTTTTGGACTCCCTGTGGATATCGAATCAGTCCATTTTGTTTTATTTTGAAAGCAAATGCTACGAGTATGACTAAACCAACAAGGCCATGTTCTTGTTGAGAAAGTGATAATTTAATTTAAAATAAGATGCCTTTTCTTAATTGTCATTTGTCAAATAGTGCTTCTTGTTTTACCTTCTGCAGTGACACTTAGGCCCCGTTTGGGATTGCTTTTTTTGGCTAAAAACCTGCTTAACTTTAAAGTTAAGCAGTTTATGGTGTTTGGTAAAAATAAAATATCCTGTTTATTTTAAAAGCAATGGTATTTTGACAGCAGCTTTTAAAAGCAACCTCGGGGTTGCTTTTTAAAGCTCCTTTCAATTGAAGCAGCGCGCTTCCTTTAATGAAATTTTTGTAATTCCACAAATACCCTTATTAGATTATATAATTATCCTCACGTAGCTGCAGACACCAAAGTTCATCTTCACATAGCCTCCCAAGGCTCAATCTCTCTCAATCTCTTTCACAAGATAGATTATCAATCTCTCCAAAGTTATTGATTATAATTTTTTGGGATATATTTATTCTTCAATCTCTTGAAATTTTTATATACGTGCTGCTTTTATTTTTTGTTTTTTCTACTGGTTGTGCTTATTATGTATATCTGATTCTTGTGTTGGAAATTTTTCCACACGAAAACTTCCTAGCCAAATCAAATCCATGGTTTAAAGCATGAACGGTGTTCATGCCATCCCAAAACCTGTGCTGGGGTCACTAAATATAGCCACCATTGAAGACCCATCTGATATGCTTGGCTTCTGCACACATGAGTGAGAATGGACACCCAGTGACCTTGCTGTAGTCACAAGGTTGAATGGAAGCCCCATTGATGACGTCATCATTGTGTGCTTTTAGAATCATTCAAATTTGTTGCTGTGAGTAGATAGAAAATGAATTGGTGTATGTTGTAGGTTAGCTGTGAAAAGCAATTATTAAGAAGAAAACAAAAACACAAAAGTAGTTATAACAAAGCTCATGAATTCATAGAATTTTATTCCATAACTGATATATGTATTATTCTTATTCCATAACTGATATATGTATTATTCTTACTGTTTATTATTTTTATTTTCTAGAGAGCTTGATTAAATAAAAGAAATAAAAATTTGCTCTTTATTTTTATTTTCCATAAGTGATATATGCATAGTTTTTCTTTGACTTTCATTATAAATAGTTACAACACTTTTACGGTAAAATTTACAAGACGCTATGACACTGTTTTTCATACTCACAACACTTTTAAAATTACAGTTTACTAAACGTTTAACTGCTTTACTTTACAGCTGATTTTTTTTAAAGCACAGCAGAAACAGCTTTTTTTCAAAGCGGCAGCAATCCCAAACTAGGCCTTAGGAAGAGGATAGCAGCAGTCTCTGAAAATTTGATGAAGAATTACATGGTCATATATTGCATCAACTTGTTCCTTAACCATGTGTGACAGTCCATTGTCACGAATAAGGCTTTCCAATCACAATTTACATGTAAGATCACTCATACCGCATGACATGAACATAGCAGTCTCAGGATATACAGCTCCTTAAAGCAAAATTGAACATTTTAGGACATCGGCCATAGGAAAGATAGGATTTTGAATCAAATTCCTCCAACGATGCAACTTAATAATGAAGTGTTTTTTTCTTTTCTTCTTTTCATGGGTCAGAAGATATAGATATCTCTTCCTCCTCTTTTATAGACTTTAGCCTCATCGAAACTCGACTCATACTTGGCCTATCATTTGATGAGGGATTTATGCACTGCAATGCTACCTGCAACAAGTTCACCATCCTTTCTTCACTTGCACCTTCTTGGATCAAGGCCTTGTCAAAAACTTCAAGAGTCCACTCCTCTTTAACCACTGAGTGCACCCACCTCGGCAAATCAAACCCATTTTGCTGGACCAGCTTCCCAGTCAAAAGCTCAAGAAGAATCACACCAAAACCATAAACATCATCCTTGAATGTGCTATATGCATGGCCTGCATTAGAACTTTCAATTCCATTGTTTGGAGAAAGGAATGACTGGTCTTGATTTTCAGTCTCCATTACCCCATATTCACTGATGCAGGGCTTCATGGTCATGTTGAACAAAATGTTCATGGACTTGAGGTTGCCATGGGCAATGCCATCTTCACGTAGCTCCTGGTGCATGAACGCCAGTGACTCAGCAATGATGTCTGCAACATTTAGTCTGCTTCCCCAGTCAAATATGTGGCCATTTGAAGATCCTGTGACCCGAAAAATGATGCATACAAATTATCAGTAATGCTACTTTAGGAACTTTCATGTCAACAAACTTATATCCACTACCTTTTTCTGTCATACCATAATGCATCAAGGTTTGAGGAAAAACAAAAAACAAAAAACAAATACTGTTGCTGACTTGCTACTAATCCAACCATGGATTCGATATGTAGTTTTTTGTTGGATGTTCTGTACTACAAGCCCACTTAGCTAGGCCTTCAAATCATCTGAACATTGAGTTTGGGAGTAAATAAATTCTAAGTTTCATCCTTTCTTTTTGAGCTTTAGTAATTTTATGTTGCATTGACTTTCTTTTAACTGTGAAAATCCTCTGTGTTTCAGTTAATCATTTCTGTATCTCATTGGTAAATTAGATCTACTCAAATTCTAAAATATATGTATTTGTAGCAAAAATTAATATAATCAAGATTCAAGCTTACCATGAAGAAGGTTAAAGAGATTGCCATTCGGTTGATATTCATATACTAAGAGCTTCTCTTGTCTGGAACAATAGAATGCAACTGCTGGCAAGACATTTCGACACTTAGCTTGATCGATCTTTTTCATCCTAGTCTTGAAATCTTCGCTCGAGATCCGACAATTCCTGATCCTCTTCACAACCAAGTTAACCCCATCATCAAGCATGACTTTGTAGAGGCTTCCATTCTTTCCTCTTGCAAGCAATTCAGCTGGAGCTCGGAGCAACTCCTCAAAACTTAACCCCATCAGCAATGGACTTGTGAGAACTACAAGCGGTGGAACCATTCCAGTTTCAACAGAGGTTAATGAGTACTCTGCTGTCTTAGGCACACCATCAGCCTCGAACTCACTAGAAGTAATAGTGTTAGGCACAGTGCTAGCAGTATCAGCTGTTGCAATCTTTTCATTTCCACCCTTTTCCTCATGTTCTCTGGTCCTCTTTTTGCTGATAAATTTATACACAAAGAAGCACACAAAAACCAGGCCAAGTATTATGTAGCCTGAGAAGATGAGAAGCTTTTTAGATGAGGACTTGTTTGATTTCTTCTTTGGCATTATAGATGTTGGGACAGGTGGGCAGGTATTTGGTAGTGGTTTTCCACATAGCTTAGGATTACCTGAAAAGCTGTCTTTTGTGAGTTGGCCTTTGACATCAGGAATTGGACCACTGAAGTTGTTGTTGGAGACATTGAACACCTTCAGATTGGAGAAATCAAAATCTGGTATTTGCCCATCAAGTTGATTGTTTTGAGCAAGGAAAGATATCAAGCCTGAAATCTTTGGTAGATCAGGAAGCTCACCATAGAAGTTATTGTTGGATATATCAATCCTTTTCAAATTATTTAACCGTGAGAGAGAGTCAGGAAGGTCACCAGAGAACTGATTTCCACTTATATAAAAGTGGGTCAAATCTCTGCAATTTCCAATGTCTTCTGAAAGCAGACCAGAGATTTTGTTGTTCTTCAGACTCACAACACCCAAAGACTCTACCATGCAGAGAGAATTTGCATCAAGAACTCCAGTTAAATTGGACATTTCAAGAACTATTTTCTTCACATAATTCTGTTTATCACATGTCACACCCTCCCATTGGTCTCTGCAAGGGTCTGAACTCATGTTCCAACCCCATTTGACATCTCTCACTGAATTTCCCGGTGAAAGTTTGTCCATGAATTGCACTAGCACTTGCTTGAGTTGCTTCAAGTCTTGATCTTCTGAATTAGCCATTGGAAAGATGAGAAAGATCAAAATGGCCAGTACCCAAGTGGGAAAACGATTCATTTTTTCTTATTTTTATGTACAAGTAGAGTTTTTTTGGTGGAAAATGGCTCTGTGGTTTTGGTTTCCTCTTTATGAATTGGGCTTCATTGATGGAAGTTGCAAAACAAGGAGAAAGTAGCAATGTTGAAGTTTGTTGCTGGAATATCACTTGGTGCCAATTGGCTGATACTGACAGAGTTTGAAATATTCTTTATGGTTAAGGTCATGTACCATAAGGAGCTTGCAGAATGAGCCTCACACCACACCGCACTATAGCCTGTAACAATTCTAAAAAAATATGTGCCGGCAGTTTACGCAGTCAAATTTTTGATGGCATGTCCTTCTCAATAGCCTTTTCTAGAATTAACAGTGTGTGATATAGTAACTTGTAGAGACCCTCCAAGGGTGGTCAAGATTCAACTTTGCCTTCTCAGACATCAAAGAGTAAAACCCAGATAAGCCTTTTTACCCTGAAATGCCTTGTTACAGCTCAACACATTACCCAAATAGACTGCAGAGTAGGCGTTTTTGCAGCAAGAAAGGTAACTTTTGGTTCAGTAAAATGGAGTACTTTTACCAATGGCCATCACAAGTAACCAAAAGAGGCAGCATAAAATGGGCTCAAAATCAAATATTTTAATCTGGCTTTGAATCCTATTAGTGGGTTAGGCTAGTTGGCCAAGGCAGTGTGTCCGCCCCATTGCACCCAAATTTGAACCCTCTTCTCGTACATTAGAATAGTTTAGAATATCAACCTTATAAAAAAAAATAAAAAATTCTGGCTTTGAATCCTATTAGTTCCCTAATTTCTGAATCAACTTTCACATAGGTTATACATTAGTCCAAAAAAAAATGTGGGTTGATAATTTCTTAAAATAGGTTATACATTAGTCAACCAAGCCATGGATGCGCATGACATATGGCACAAAAAGGTATCACTCTCTCCCTTAATGTGATGCACGTTGGACAAACACATAATCACTAAGCTTCGTTGGTCCAGTCAAGTTGTAGACTTTGAAGTGTTTAAAATAAGTATATGATTATATTCTAAATTGATTTCATTTGATTGTCATTGGTGGTACTGCTACTTTATAGCTGTTGTTTATATATATCTTGTTAGCTGGATGTGGTCTCTTCCAAAATCCTGCTGCCTCTATAAAATGACCCAGAAGAACTCCACTTGTCCCAAAAATAATTCAAATATTATCTAAATAGTTTCAGATCAATACATTTCCTTTCGACCAGAAAAGGAAGAAAATAGATCAGCATATTTCCCTTTATAAGTTTTTGTGAGTCTTTCTTGACCAAGACAAACAACCAATGGAAGGGTCAAATTTGAAAGAGCACATAAAATAGATGTGTCTTGTGTTTCAATGTGATTCTTCATAACATTAAAAAAATTCAGTGACCATTGACCAACATCAGAAGTAAATTATTTGACATAATTCATGATATTTTTACAAGCAAAAGGAATCTAGTCATACAAATATCGATAGTAACATAGTTTAAATGGTAAACATGTAATGGGGGATTTTCTGCTGCTATAACTGGTGGTTTTTAATCATGGATAAAGTCCCCCCCCCCTGCACCATCAGTTCACTCTATGGGTCTGCATGTCCGGCAATATCATCGTCGCTTGAATCACTTTCCTCATCACTAATGTTTTCATCACCACTCTCCTCATCTGGAGTTGAATTGGTAATATGCTCCTTCTTTGCATATCGCTCGCAGTACTCTGTGTCCACAAATCACGGGAAATATAGACAAAGTTCTAAAATTTTAGGGATTGTTTCCAATAATTTAAGCATATTTATTGAAAAAGCGTAGATTAATTCTAGAGTAAGTTTTACCTTTCACCTTCTGATCGTAGAGTTTTCGGTCCTTCATCATCAACGATGCTGCATCGCCATTGAGCGGATCTGAAGGATTTGGATAGAGCAACAGTTGTGGAAGGAAAACTTCAAAAACATTTAAAAGGTCTGCATCAAGAAGAACCATGGCTATATATGTGAGAAATCCAAGAAAATCCAGATGAGAAAAGAAAAGAACAGATGTGAAAACAAAAACACAATAGAAGAGTGAAACATCACTGACTCATAGAAGAGAGTCCAGATATACAAAGCCAACGTATTTCAGCAGTGTATTGCAAAATGAGACTCATAATTTTTACTAAATTGGGCTGATAATTACCGAACATTGGACTCCATGATTGGTTAATTACATCTAAGCACACAGAACCAGATCTGCAATTACTCGGGAAAGACAAATCAGTCAGGTCATAAAAAATTAAAAACCGATAACCAATTACTCAAGTTCCAGCCGCTTACTAGAGAAATAAAAAAGAAAGTATGTTGTCAATTCCACAAACTTATTCAAAGCATTTGATAATTAGCAGCAGTATTACACCATTCTAAGTAAACTTAATGCTTCTGCCTTTATTTGACCCAATGTGCAGGGTACTAGTAACAATTAGAACTTAAAAGATCCTAGAGAAGATAATTCTAATCAGATGTAATGAGAAGTGATTTTGCTTTTCGAACTGCAGAATACTCACAGCTCATCAACATTAGGGTGGAAAATCTTGTTGATGAAGCCAATAGAAGGAGATTTATATGGATACGCATCGGGAAGCTCAACGCGGATTTTCCAAACCCCGCCTTCATAAAGGCCTGCAACCACCACATCAGACAGAGTATATTATACCAAAATGCATTTTAAACAACGTCTAAACGAAAGCTATTAGAGACTCAGCCAATAAAAGACTAGTGGAGAAAAAGGAAACATTAGTTTCCAAAACGCATTAATCTAAGAGCAACCTCTAATAAAGTCTACCAAAAGACAAACAAAGATGAAAAACTTTCCAAAGTTGAGCTTATGCCACATTCGATTATAATGTGCCTCCATTCACGCACATAAAATCATATAGGGAACTCTATATAATTAAAAAGTATAAGGATGAGTGCAAGACAGTACTTTCTTTTGGACCATGGAATTCCACATTGAATTCATTTAGCCCATCGTTTATTGTCTCCACATTATAGTCACTCATCATCCTGAAAAACATTGAAAATGACAATAAACATAGCTATATATTGTAACAGAGAGGAAGGCAGCAACATGATCTAAAGTACTTGTACCAACAAGACTACAGATACCCCTTCGGTATACCAAAAGGGAGGAGGAATCCAGTCTTAAGAAACATAAGACCCAGATTACAAAGGTTGGAGATAATACAGTAACCGACAACTTACAACTTCATGACATCCATCTCTCTCCTCTTGCTTGGAGACGACATTTTAACTTAATAAAATTAAATTCCCAAACCTGTCAGAAATATATCAAAGTAATCAACTTTTCAAGGAAACAAATATCAGAGAAATCAAATCTATTAAACCGTAGATTGGTTATACAAATATGGTATGGCGGTTGAAACTGAAACAGACTAATACATGAGAAAGAAATAACACTGACCTTCTGGAAATCCACAAGATTCTGCGAAAATAAATGGTGAAGTAGAAGCAGAAGTAACAGAAACCTCAGACTTTATTTGATGTCCAAAACCAGGATGAAGGGAAACACATATCTGTAGAGTAAAGAGCAAAATCAGTGCAACCTACACAAGTTCAAAAGTCTACTTAGACTAGGAATTGGCTTTCACAAATCATCACCATCATAGAATAGGATCTACATAACATTTTAAACCATGACTAGCCTAGTAATATGTAAAACTGCATTTTAGTTAGCAACTTTTATATGCAATGGATGGTGCAGCAGGAAGAAATCCACCTCAATTAAAACTTAAAACAAACCAGAGATTTTCCATGCATTATCTCAACAGTACCAATTAATAGGGACAAGAAAGTAGACCAAAAAAAAAGATTTCAGAATTTATAAATTCCCCTAAGTGCAATTTAAGGTCACCAGACCATTTTCCACCTGACAAATGAAGCTTCCCAATACACAAATCAATGCACATGAACTAACAGCATAAATTAGAAAGCTGAACCACAAAGAAGCCTTCAAACACTGCTTTCATGAAGTATTAAATAAACAAATCTTTTGTTATATATCCTAATAGCATATTAGCATCATACAACTATGACATCAGATTACAGAATCTAAATGCATTGCCCATCAGATGTCTCCCCACCAAATACAAACTAAGTCCTCTCCTTAAAATGGTATGTGCCTCCGCTTAAAGTTGTTACATAACACTCTACGATCAAAATGACTAGTTCAACTTATATTGGTTGGACAACAAATCGGTTCCTCAGCCTCTAAACTGACGTTTAACATTCATCATTCACCATAATCGAGAAGCCTAAAGTTTGCTCACCCCAATCCAATATAGTACATTTTCAAGCTACAAATTTATCATAAAAAAGTTTGTATATGCAAGCATACTTGACAATGGATAACAAAACTAGAAATGCCGCTTGATTTTACAGACAAAGAAAAAAGATCATATCATCACACTCACAGGACAATCTTAAACTCCACAACAGCAATTAAATTTGCAATGATTCATCACAATATGAATATGCTCAGAGAATGCAATGCCACTGTTTTCTCCACAGTATGACCCCTCAAGAAAAATAAAACTTCGAGCAAGTGGGTTCAATACCAAACGCACTAGAACATTCCAATCTTTATTCTTTCCTTCTTAACCATTTCCCAGACATGCCCAGTTTGAGGTTATAGCGATTCAACCCCTCCCAAACCAAAATTAAAAATAAAAATTAAATTTTGTAAAAAATGCAAAAAGTTGCCATGAAACCGACACTGAGATTTTGGCAATCAATGTATAAGTGCAGCAAAGTATAACATTTAAATAGAAGCTGCAATCGTATGAAGATCTATGGCCTAACCAGACAACCATAAACAAAGAAAAATAAATAAATAAATAAATAATTTGCTCATTCAGATTGCTAATAAAGAAAAATAGAGACGAGGGCAACTGGGAATCTTACCAGAGCAACTCATTTAAAGGGTCGACCCTTTGTCTTGTCTGATTAGAGATTCGCGAGAACCAAACAGAAAACGAAGATGGGAAATTGAGAAATTCAATTGGAGAAGAAAAATGAAGAAACTACAGGCAGAGGGTGAAAGGAAGAGAGTTGGGGGGTGAATGTCCTTGTCGACATGTACAGACGCACGTGTTGAAATGATAATGTTATTACGTGGCAAGCAAGACTTGAGGTGGTCTAAAATTAAATATGTGGTGCCTAAATAATTTAATCAATTAACAATTACCAACCAAAATATTTTTCTCACCACTTTAACATAAGGTGTATGCTTACATCACCTTTTTTAATACTTGACACGTGTCCATAGTTATAACTATAGTTAACTTTTTACTTTGATTTATGTAACTATGGTTATACTTATGGACGCGTGTCAAGTGTTGAGCATGTACTTTGGATTAAAATAGTGAGTAAAAATACTCCCACTAAAATAGTTAAAAACTTTGTTTTCCATGTAAAAAAAAATTTAATAATTTGTTTTGTAGATTCTTTAACCCCCATTAACTTTTCATATCCTGATTTGTTTAGTTAATCTTTTTCTTAATTATAGCATTATTCAATGATAAATATGGTGACCATTTTCATCCCTAAATTCTGCATGTTAGGGGTTTTTATTTATTATAATGAACATTTTAATTTTTGGCCAAAAAAAAAATAATTCCTTAAAATAATGGGAAGTGCATTTCGAATTAGAAGCAAGGAATATTAATTTCTTGTCAAATTATAACCCGAGAGTTTTAATCAAATAGTGGAATGAAATCAAAACGAGGATTATGTTATGCTTAAGATTAGAGTAATCTCGGGGATAATGATAAAGTCGGGGATCGTAATCCCCAAATTTTGATAGGATTTGATGTCAATCTCCTCCTCTCATCAAGATGATAAAATTCTAATCCTTGAAAAAACACATTCGAATGAAATGGCACGTATGAAGTGGCAAAGAAGAAGCTGTTTTTTTTTTTGTGTGTGCTTCTTTGCTTCTTTTTTGGTAAACCCTCAAAATCCGTACCAACCAAATTGTCATAAGAACCTTCACGATTTGACATGGTTTTGTTTTGGTAAACCCTCCAATATTAGAGTTTATTTATTTAGCGCAAGCTATGAAACTCACTTATCAGAGACAAATAATTGGTTCTACTGCCTAATTTTGCTTCAACATGATGAAACAACAAAATGTAATTGTAAGAACGAAGGGAAATGATAACATATAAGGCATAAATAGTTTAACTAGATTTTTTCCACGGATTCTCCCCGTAGTAGTATGCGGAGCCAACCATAAGCGCCACTGTGCCACCTTGGGCAACCACACGAGCTCTCATTAGCTTCTGCCCCAGCTGAGAATTGCCTTGCCTGAAACTGATCAAGCCGGCCGTGAGCACACCAGCAGTCAACAACGCCCCTGAAAAGTTTAATTCTATTGGTTAACTGAAATGGATCACATAAAGGTCAAAAACAAAGAAGCGCAAGATCATCAGAATGCCAACCCAAATCACAGCTTTGGAGTTGGAAAATAATCTGCAAGAGTGATTTTGAAAGAGCAGAAAGCAGAAAGCAGATCTATTTGACTTCATTCAATTCTCAATCCTCAAACTTTGCAGTTAAACATTTACCACTTAGGGATACACAAAAGAAAACATTTTTTAACAAGTTCAAAGGAAACAAAAAGAGGATCCCTAAAGCCTAGAACTTAAAAATACACTTTGCATAACTCATCCTCCTCATTCCTTTCCCAAACCATGAAATCCACCATACACGCATCTCCAGTTGTTATCTCTACTACCACAAATTTCTAGGACCTAAGCGACTTCAATCTCACCATCTTGATAGCATTTCAACTTAGCACACTAAGACAACAAAGAACAATAGTCTACACCTGATTAAACATCAAGTTAGGTGCCAGAAAGTTAGCCACATCCACTGATTACACTAAAAACATGAGTCTCATAGCTAACCTTCTGCAGGTCAGGACCCTAACAACAAAGGAACTGGTATCATATCAAAATAACAAAACTTTCTTGCATCTTGCTACGAGACATGGTCTCCCCTGCTCCACTGTAATATATACTCAATAAGCCTTCTTTTTCAAATAAATACATACCTACTGCTGGTTACTAAGACAAAACGCCTGAAACTTCTCCAAATCCGTATACAAGACATAGGGGACAAAGAATTTATGAGAAGTTTAGATTTGAAACAAAACATTGTCTTCTTTCAACCTAAATGGCCAACAAATCAATAAGCACACTAAACCAGCCCGTACTTAACGTCCACCAACCTAACACAGATAAGAAAGAGCTACAATTTCTACTAGCCTCTGAGCTGGGGCACAGGCTTCTGAAAATTGAACAAGAGTTAAACTATAAGTTCTCTTAACTATTGAGAATTTTCTCATTTCACTAATTAAGTTAGTTTAACTAGAAATTCTCTCAACTAAATGCAGTTAATTAAGAATCCCAATTATTAGTTTTATATATCCCAAATCCACCAAAAGATCAAACAATGCGTCGACAAAACTCATCAAGCACCAAACTTTACAATCACATATATACATAAACTTTAAAGGATTGATAAAAATGAATCACAGAAAACAAATTCTAGCAAATAATAGTAAAGGAATCGAAATGGGAATTACCAACTGGTACCCAAGGGTTCTTGACCCGCTTCTTCTCCTCATAGAACACTTCTAAAGTGGGCTCAACCTTCTCCATATCTACAAAATGTGAGAAGCAGAGAAAACGGCTCAGACCCAGAATGAATTTGGGGTCGAGAGCCCTAAATTGGAAACTAGAAGAAAATTTGAGACTGAGAAAGTCAAAGAAAATGAAATAGTAGATGCGTGTCGGTGGCTCAACCTTTTCCTGCTGACAAATGAAGTTTGTCAATACACAAAGTTGAAAGCCTTCAAACACTGCTTTCATGAAGTATTAAATAAACAAATCTTTTGTTATATATCCTAATAGCATATTAGCATTATACGACTATGACATCAGATTACAGAATCTAAATGCATTGCGCATCAGATGCCTCTCCACCAAGTACAAACTAAGGCCTCTCCTTAAAATGGTACGTGCCTCCGCTTAAAGTTGTTACATAACACGCTACAATCAAAATGACTAGTTCAACTTGTATGGTTGGACAACAAATCAGTTCCTAAGCCTCTTACACTGACGTTTAACATTCATCATTCACCATAATTGAGAAGCGTGAAGTTTGCTCACCGCAATCCAATATAGTACATTTCCAAGCTACAAATTTACCATCGAAAAGTTTGTATATGCAAGCATACTTGACAATGGATAACAAAACTAGAAATGCCGCTTGATTTTACAGACAAATAAAAAAGATCACATCATCACACTTACAGGACAATCTTAAACTCCACAACAGCAATTAAATTTGCAATGATTCATCATCACAATATGAATATGATCAGAAAAATGCAATGCCACTGTTTACTCCACGGCATGAGCCCTCAAGAAAAATAAAACTTCGAGTTCGAGCAATAGTGGTTTCAATACCAAACGCACTAGAACATTCCAATCTTTATTCTTTCCTTCTTAACCATTTCCCAGACATACCCAGTTTGAGGTTATAGCAATTCAACCCCTCCCATACCAAATTTAAAATTTAAAATTTATAAATTTAAAAAAAATGCAAAATTGCCATGAAACCGACACTGAGATTTTGGCAATCAATGTATAAGTGCAGCAAAGTATATCATTTAAATAGAAGCTGCAATCGTATGAAGGTCTATGGCCTACCCAGACAACCATAAACAAAGAAAAAAAATAAAAAATAAAAAAATTTGCTCATTCAGATTGCTAGTAAAGAAAATAAAGAGGAGGACAACTGGGAATCTTACCAGCGCAACTCAATTAACGGGTCGACCCTTTGTCTTGCCTGATTGGAGATTCGCGGGAACCAAACAGAAAAAGATGATGGGAAATTGAGAAATTCAATTGGAGAAGAAAAAAAAATGAAGAAACCACGGATAGAGGGTGAAAGGAGAGAGAGTTGGGGGGCGAATGTCCACATGCTCAGACGCACGTGGCAAGCAAGACCTTAGGTGGTCTGAAATTAAATATGCGGTGCCTAAATAATTTAATCAATTAACAATTACCAACTAAAATTGTTAAAAACTTTGTTTTCTTGAAAAGGTGAATTTATATACCAACTTGTGTATCATCTTTCTAATAGAGTGTGATACTCATTTTATTGGTGGACTCCACTTTTATTAGAGAGATGTTACGCAAGTTGGTATCTAAAGTTGATCTCCCTAGCATGACCCTTGTTTTTCATGTAAAAAAAAATTGAGCAAAAATTAATCACAGAAAACAAATTCTAGCAAATAATAGTAAAGGTTTCGCGGGCCATTGGAGTTAAAGGAGCCCGTTTTAGCTCAACCGCTAATTAATTGGGCCTAATTAAAGCCAAGGCCCGACTAGGGCCCAATTATTATATTTTTGCTTTTTAAAAAAATAAATAAATTTATAAATAATATTCTGTTTTGTTTGCTACCCGTAATAATTCTATTTGTCTTTAAAGAACCAATGATTTTCACATTTCAGCTACTCTCCACTGGGACTCGCCATTTCTGTGAAGAGAGAGAGAGAGAGAGAGAGATGGGGATGAAGTCTAGTTTGGTGGAATTGGTGCCCTTTGCAGCCATGGTGATGGTGGAGATTATGGATGTGGGGTTGACCACACTGAGTAAAGCAGCAATGTCCAGAGGAATGAGCCACTTTGTCTTTGTTGTCTACTCAAATGCTCTTGCCACTCTCATCCTCCTCCCCTCTTCTTTCATCATCCACAGGTTTTCCCTTCAACTCTTCATCTTCCTATTCATCTCTTCAATCTTTTATGTCCAACAAAAATGTAAAGTGTTCTGTTTTCTTCTTGTTTGCAGAAACAAGAGACCACCACTTACCTTTTCTGTTCTATGTAAATTCTTCCTTCTCAGCCTTGCTGGGTATGTAATTTGATCTCAAGACCTTCACTTTGGACCATTAGACATGTTGGTTTTCTGGCTTTTTTTTTCTTCTTTTTGTTAGTTTCACTCAGTTTTTTCGCAGGATAACTGTTATGCAGAATTGTGTATTCACTGGAGTAAGCTACAGCTCTCCTACTCTTGCTTCTGCCTTGAGCAACTTGGTCCCAGCTTTCACCTTCTTTCTTGCTGTTATCTTCAGGTTGGTCTTTTTTCCCTGCACCAGATAAAGAAACAAAGGGACAGAAAATTGCCTGGCCTTCAATCATTGAAGGGTATGAAGCACAATAAATAAAGCTTATAACTTTTAAATTCTGTTGCATCTAAAATAATAAGATGGATGATGGATCTTTTGGCCAAGTAAGAAATTGATTTTGGAATTTAATGGGAGTTTAAGGGAGTAAGGAAAAACATTTTGGTAGTGGAAGGAACTTAAGATTTTGTGTTTGCTTATAGAATGGAAAAGTTCGATTTGAGAAACTCAAGAAGCCAGATCAAAATCGTGGGCACCCTGGTATCTATCTCAGGAGCATTGATAGTCACTCTTTACAAGGGTCCTGCAGTTGGGTTCTTGCCAAGCCAACCTGCCATAGACTCTTCACCACCAAACCCTACTATGTTGACATCAATGAATAATTGGGTCATTGGAGGCCTTTTTCTTACAACAGCTAGCTTATCTCTTGCCGTATGGAATACTGCTCAGGTAATAATATTCAATATAACAAGTCACTTGAAATTGATGTGAAACTCTTCTTTTTCAATTCAGAACTTTTTGTTGAAAATGGAGCTGATCTTAAGTTCATGTTATATCTGAAGGCAGCAATTCTCAAAGGCTACCCATCAGAGATGACAGTAGTTTCCTTCTATTGCTTCTTTGGGACCATTCAATCTGCAATACTTGCTTTGATTGTAGAAAAGAATCCAAATGTCTGGGCACTGAGACTTGACATGGAGCTCATCTCAATCTTGTATTCAGTAAGCACATAGGACAAAGTTTTAAATCCATCTTTTTCCTCTGATAAGTGTTCATGCTTATTTATTTTGAAAGAGCTTCTAAGTTACATCATTGGTTTATTTCTGCACAGGCTATTTTTGGAAGTGTAATAACATTCTCTACTCTAACATGGTGCATACAAAAGAAAGGACCTGTATTTGTGGCCATGTTCAAGCCTTTGGGGATTGCTATTGCTGCTTTAATGGGTGCCATCTTCCTTGGTGACACACTCTATGTTGGAAGGTGACAACCCCTCTCTTTACTGGCATTATCATATTATTGTGCTTAGGGTCCAAGTTTTTTTATTTTTTAGTACAAGTTATTGGGATGGGGATTTACACAAATATTCATTGAATGTCTGGGGGTTTCAAACCTCTGCCCACATAGGTGGAGGTGAGAGAGCTCAACCAACCTATACTCCACTAGCGTGCTTAGGGTCCAAGTTAGTTAGGCAAGTTAAATTACAGAAACAAAATAGAAATACTCCTTTAAAACTCTCATTTATTAAGAAAATTGCTTAACATATTATAAAGGGCATGTTAGTCTCTGATGGGACTTTGCTTTCATAATTTTCTAATCCATCACGCAAAGAATAATCTATTAAATCCCATGTAAAACATGGATTAGATTTAGGTATGTACTAAATACAATATGATAATGGGAAAACAAATGCGTAACTTGCGTGATTGGTTTGAAAAAATTGACATGTAAAAAAAGCTAGAAAGATGGTAGTTCAAGCTTGGCACTCTTTACATTGGGCAGGTGAAATATAATGAAAATGTGCATCTGCCAGTCAGATCTGAATGGTTGTTCAGAATTCATAGAAAGAATAACAACCTGGGTTTAGAGAAGACTTTTACCATAAAAATAAAAATAATACAAATATGATAAAAGAAGGATTAGAAAGAAGCCTCAGTACAACTATATTTTCATTTAATAATATATATAGGATAACAGTATTTTAGTTTAATTTTGGGTGGCAGTGTTATTGGAGCTCTGGTAATTGTTGTGGGTTTCTATGGAGTAATATGGGCGCAATCAAAGGAGGAAAAAAGTTTGGACCAAAAGAGAGACGAAAAGGAACAGGGTGAAACCCATGAGGTTGTTGATAGGCTGCAGTCATCATCACAGAGGACGCCTCTCTTGGAGGCCTACACACAACATGTATGAAAATGAAACAAAATGCATTCCACACTTGGATAAGTTGAAGAAAAATGTTATATTCTTATAATTAAGCCAAGTTTCTATGCTTCCTTAGATATAATAACTTAAGAAATCTTATGAATCTCTCCGATGCTAAAGATAAGGTGCTATTCTAGATTGAGAGGTTCCCTTCATAAAGACCAATTGGGTTTCCTTTCAACGTTCAGAAAACTTGTATAAAGAAACAAAATTTGAGGATCATCGTCGCTCAGTTTAATGTTTTCATGCTTACATCCATCCCTCGAAAGAAGAGAGAAAGCAACAATCCTCAATGAGGCACCTGAAAAACTACCGAATTTTTCTGAGAGGGTCTACAACTACTCCTGACGCCTCCCAGGAAACAAATATCTAAACTATGAAAACATAGCTAGCACCCTCCAGAGTCTTACAATTTCTATTTGAGACACTGCAGAAGGCGGGCTACAAAATTGAATACGTAATGCGCCTGCGTCCAGTCCAACCTCAAGTCTTCAGATCATCAGACATTGCTGAGGGTATGCAATGTGTAGCAAGAATGTCTAGAGTTGCTGCTTTAGCAGTATTTGTACGGAGGACCACCATCTGCATAAATACTGCAAATTAGGATATGGTACAGACAGAAAGCACACATGCAAGAGAGAGAGAGAGAGAGAGAGAGAGATGATAAACCTGTTGGTATTCTAAATCAAATTTCAAAAATTCATCCTCGCATTCCTCTACCATGCTGGCCAAGTTCTTCAGATTCTTCACTGGCTTACCATTTAAAGCAAGAACCTACACACATATAAAGAGTAAGTCGTCCAACAGCAGATTATTTGAAGTAATTCAGCTACTAACGTCCAAAATAAAGTAAAAGCCAGCATAGTGCAATCCTCGACCTGAGTGTTAACTATTTCTTCATAACCGATGTTGATATCAGCCACAAGAACCTGAAAGAAACATCCCAAATTGACGTGAAAAAGTCAGCACGGGGTCAACGCAACCCTTCCAAGAAAGAAATAACTGTGAGAGAGAGAGAGAGAGAGAGAGAGAGAACCTGAGAAACAACGACAAGCTGCTCATCCGGTGATTGTGGCAATGAGTGCAGCATTTTGTCCAAAAGCTTGACAGGGGCTTCAAATTCATAATCCTTTCCATACTGAAATACGAGCAGAAAGAGTTGGATTGAGATAGCACACACCATTTTATCTTAATTTCAGGTGTAACCTAATCATAAACTTTAAAGATACTAGAAACTGTTGTAAAAAGCAAATATAGCAAAGGTAGTATTGCCTAATGATGGCAATCAAGCCATGTTATTCATTGGGTCATTTTAAATTTGGGTCATGTACCACACAACCCCACCCCAATACGTTAATTCATTGCATCAGATGATTTCAGTATTTACTTACACACACACACACACATATAGACACTGTAATAAGCAACACAACAGTTGCATGCAGTAATAATCAATCAATCTCTCACTCCTCAGTTTCCAAATAGCAAATGACAGAAACAGGTTTAAGATCACTGTTCATGAAAACACAGAAAAATATTAAGCAGAGGGAATTAAAGTTGAACTACTAACCTCAGACCGAAGATAGGGAACAGACACAGCTGTAAAAACAAATCCTGCAATAATATAATATGAAGGAGGTCTGCCCTTGTTGTGTGCTGGAATTAGCCTTTTGTGGGATGCAAGTTTGATGTCAAAACTGAGAATCTCAGAATTACGCAGAACTTTAACCACTGAATTGTCTCCAGTATATTTCTGGGAGATGAGGTAACTAAAACCTATGCGCTCTCCATGCCGAAAAGGAACTGAAACTCGTCATGGAAAAAAGGTGCCAAGTCACATAGAGTATGATAAGAGAGAAAATAGAAAGGTAAGACATGTTGCACACAATATATAATTCACCACTTAGCAACACTGTTATAACAATTAGCAGAAGCGTGATAAGCAAATAAAAGCAAGAATAACAATAAATTCTTTAAATGTACACAATTTCTTCACTTACTAAACAAATTACAGATCTATGTCATAAGCATATACCCATAATGCATATCTACGTATGTAGCAGGAACATAAGAACACATGCCTGTTCCATCGTTGGCAATATTAACTCCATCAAAGCTGAGAATAATATCAGATGGCTTCAGAACCTGAGATTCTGGAGCAGTGGGATCAATTCTTCTAATGCGAACACCCTTCTGATCAGGTTTCATGCCCATTGACATACGCAAGTCAGGATTTTCCATTTTCTGCCACTCAACCCCGAGAATAGGAAATCCTGGCACATTATAGACAATCATAAGATGAAAAGTACGTGCAAAACTGATAATACTAAGTACCGCCAGGCTGCCACTGACTGTTACCCACATAAGTTTGTAACTACATTACATAGAAAGACAGCCTATGTCAATGACAATTTATATAACTGCAATGCTTAAAACACATTAAAATGTAACAAATTTACCCGTATATGCTCCATTCTTCTCATAATCTTGGATAAAGTGCATAATGACTGGTGTGGGTATGACATAACCAATATTCTCCGCATCTTCATGTTTAAGGGACTGAAATGCAATACCCACACAATTTCCCCTATCATTAAAAGCAGGCCCACCTGAATTTCCGGAGTTTATGGCAGCATCTATCTGGAAAAGGGCAATGAGAAAGAAACAAGACATTAGGACAAAGTTTCAACGGCTAAGCAAGATGTCCAACAAAAATGCTAGAATTACATTCTCATAACCTGCAAACCTAGAAGTTCCGTTGACCCATGAACATAGGATAGAATCTCTATTCGTGATACAACACCACTTGTCACTGAAATTGTGTCTCCACCAATCGGGTAACCCACAACAGTCACAGAATCTTGAAGCGCAGGCAAATCCCCAAATTCCACTGGCGACACTCCATCCCAAAACTCATCGTCATCAACAGTAAGCATGGCTGCAAGATCACATAAACAACACTTGCATGTAACAAATATTCAATTATACAAAATCCACATAGGTTCAAGTAGTTATCAACATTTGCATTACATAATGTGTTTCATTCCACTAATGGGACTTGATGCACAATGTGCATGGACATTCACTAACAATCCCTCCATCTCCACCCTTGTTGAGATCAATCCACGCCTTCCACCACATTTACATATGACTAGAGAAATTCATCCATTTCATTAGTATCCCAACCCTATGCCTTCATGTACTATGTAAGTTATTTTCAGCTTGTTTATATCCTTTATATCTATCCGTTCTACTCAATAATTCTTCCTATGGTAGACATGGAAATTCTCTGGAAACAAATCACTTCCTGCATCCTCACGACACAAGTTTCACTACGTAGTAACAACACAGAACTAACACTATACCCAAATGAAATTGAACACGTCCTCAAACAGAGAACATCCCCATTCCCAAACATCATGAACCAGAGAAAATTCAAAAGTAATAACAATGACAATCAGAAAGAAGCAAAACAAAACAGAAATAGAAAAGCTTTGAATACCAATGTCGCACTCAGTGCCAATAGCGAGAACAGTGGCCAAGTACTTAGTATCAGAGCCACGCTTCTTCAGCTTGACCTGGGTATAATGCTCCACGGAATGCGCATTGGTTAGCACCCTCCTACCACCAATCACAAACCCACTACTGCTAGAGCTATACTGCCTCTTCCTCTGCCACGGAAGCGAGAAATTCGGCTCCGTGTGCACACAAAACACCTTCACCACCGCATCCATGGCCGGCACCGCCCTCGCCACGCCCTCCCAAGCCGCGCCGGGATCCGAAACCGCCACAGCGGGTCCCACGGAACCCTTGTGCTCGCCATTGTCGACTGCCCGAGGGACTCTTCGGGAAGGGGTCATGATCTCGGGATTGTCAGTGAGCTTGCGGAGCTTCTTGGGTCGGCCGCGGCGGCGACCCTCTTGGTGGGGGTGAGAGGCTTGAGGCTGCTCGATTATCTCAACGTTGCTGACGGAGAAGACGGCGTCGTCCAATCCCGTTGCGGCGGTTGTTATCGGCGGTGGTGGCGGGGAAGCGACGGTGGTGGTTGGTGAATCTAGGGTTTCAGGGATGGGGGGTTTGGGCTTACGGCCTCGTTTGCCCATTGGGGGTTTTTAATTTTGAATTTAGAGGATTTCTTTCTTTCTGCGCCTTTTGTGTGTATCTGAGAAAGGCGTGTGTATTAATGGTGAGATTTACACGGAGAGAGAGAGAGAGAGAGAGAGAGAGAGAGAGAGAGAGAGAGAAAATGCGGGAAAAAACGGTGCAGGTAGTAATAGAATTGGAGGGTAAGCGAGTCCATAAAATAAAATGGGGAAAAAAACGGTCATCAACTTTCCTAAGCGTTTCTCTGAATCTTTGTTCTTCTTTATTTCACACCAAAAAACCGATTTCAAAAATATTTCTATGCTACAACTTCACAAAAGTGGATATTGGAGTCAATTCTATTGTTTGGATGCAATCAAATCAAGTTTGCAGTCCAATTTTGACGTGAGTGCGGTTTTGTGAGGCTTTCATTTGGTGTTCGAGTCTAGGGTTCATGGCTCGAGGTTTAGATCCCATGTTCGAGAGTTGAAGATTAGGGCCGAGTTCGAAATTTAGGACAAGGTCCAAAGTTCACACATGATGTTTAGAATCTAAGGTCGTTTAAATTTTGGACTCAAATTTCGTATTAAAATCCTACATTATTTCATAAGAATGCACTTCTTTCTGTTTTTTTTAAGAAACGAGACAAAGAATGCACATTATGTTCAAGGTAACATTCCAACACCAAGAGAAAAACTAACACTTTATAAAACCCTAAACCCTACCAATGCAGCAAAAGCATCTACTACATCACCAAAATACTCTTTGTTGGGCCTGATGTGTTAGATGCAGAATCATCCCCTTTACAAAATGAGACCACGTTGTCCAATGGAATGTACCCTGCAGCCCATGAGACTACTCAATCAGCCCATGTAATTTTTCACCTGCACTCAGAGTAAAAATCCATGTAAAAGTAAAACTGTGAAAATTACTGGAGACAACTAACAAAGCACACTTGGGTAGCAAATCTTGACCATATCATATCACAACCTGTAATGCTTGCTCATCATAATAACGAATGACAGTGGTTGAACATCATTATGTTTATGATGTCAAATGTTGAACTGTATACAATCTATACATGCTAATAAAACTCATGATGCATCAAAGCAGATCAAGAATTATAAGACATATGGTTTTTTCTGGCCAAATTTACTTCCTCTGGAAAGTTAAAACAGTTAACCCAACTGTTCTTAATTGTCATTTTCTCTGTTAATTATGGCTAGACCCCATTTTGAGGGCGACCCCTTTTATTATGTTGCTCAATCTTTACTTCACCCTCCGACCAACCAACGCTTTTGAAATCCTCAATAATTTTTAGCCGACCACCTAAGCCTTTTTCTTTTCTTTCTTTGCCCTATATCCATTTGCAAGCATAACAAGACTCTGTCTTCTCTTAAAGTCTCGAATTTTGTCTCAACTGATTCTTGGTGGCTGTCTGGTGGTGTAACTGCAATACTCAATGCTGCGTTTTTATTGCCTTACTTCCATTCCATGCCTCAAAATATGTACTGGCATGGTCCAGAAAAGAAAACAAAGCAAATCCTACAAGCTTTCTTAGCTAGTCAATTATCCCGCATGGTCCCAAATTCATTGCCTCTTATATTAAGATTTGGATGGATTATCAGTGGGGTATAACTTAATTAGTTGGGCTCTTCCACCTCCACCCGTATAGACAGAGGTTCGAAACCCCTAAGCACCAATGAATATTTGTGTAAACCCTCCTCCGATAGCTTGTACTTAAAAAAAAAGATTTGGGTTATGATAAAGATTTAATCTTGATGTCCCAGTAACCCACTTATAAGACGAGTGATGTTGGGTTTTAGAGAAACTGTGACATGAACAAATAAATTGACTCAATTGACCCCATATTAATTAATCACCTCAAGAAAACCACGGGGCATGACCCCAGTTTAGCAGAAATCACAGTCTGAAAATTTCCATCATTTTAAGTGCTTGATTAATGTAGCAGGTATCATCTTAAAGTATTTTTATTGCAGTCCATCGTTTTTAGATGATGTAACATCCTCTAATCTCAATTTTCAACACTAGGGTGTTGCTTATTTTGCAATAGTACATATATTTATTTATGTTGGTTTATCTGCCTGCATGCTGTTATTTTATTTGAGATAGGACAAAAACTGAAAGAAGCTTTTGAGCTACAGCTTATGCCACCATAACTACTTATTCATCAGACCACACCACCCTCAAAATACAAAAAAAAAGTTCGAGAAAATGAGATATTAATTTTTCTATGGGTTATTATTATTCTTGGAGTGTACTATAATGAACAAGTTTAGGCTGAAAATTCATACAGAATACCAAGTAATTGCACAACTTGCCTCCCCAGACTAGAAAAATTATATGTATACACATAAAATAAATTTGTGTTAGACCCCACAACCAAAGCTAATTTTGATTTGTCTCATAAAGATTAGAGATTAATCTTTGTATGAAACGTATTGGTGCATTATTGTATATTATATAACGAAAGAGAAAAAAGAAGGCAACCATAAACAGCAAAAAGTTAAAGAACCAGCTATAAGGGAGAGTGAATGAGTGAGAATCATGTGATGAGCCCCTCTTTCTCTCTCTCTCTCTCTCCCGCCGAATCAAAAAGCCATAAACTTTGTGTATATCCCAACAACTGAACAACCACCACCCTGTTTGTTGTGTATGTGTGTTTTGAGCTCTGAGAGTCTTTCTTGGTGTTGGTTGCCAATTCAATGGCGTCAAGCGCTTCAAGGTTCATCAAGTGTGTGACGGTGGGAGATGGAGCTGTGGGGAAGACCTGTATGCTTATTTGCTACACCAGCAACAAATTTCCCACTGTATGTTCTTTCTTCTTCTTCCAAAAGATCCATCTGGGTCTCTCAGTTTGTACTTCTTTCTGTCCCTTTTAGGCCGTTTTCCTTTTTTTTATGTGTGTATGCATCTGGGTTTTGCAGCTTTTTTTTGTGGTTTTCAAGATTTTATCAAAGCAGTCTCTCTCTCTCTCTCTCTCTAAGAAAATTGCTTGCTTTTCCCCCTTCCTTTTCCAAGTAATTTGATGATGTTCCTCTGTCAGATGAAAAGCAAAATACTCATTTCTTCTGCTTATCATCGATTCCTACAATTTTTACACCTTGAATTTTAATGCTTTTTCTGTTCATCAGGATTATATACCCACTGTGTTTGATAACTTCAGCGCTAATGTGGTGGTTGAAGGCACCACAGTGAACTTAGGCCTCTGGGACACCGCTGGTATGATATCTTTGACTCCCATGCCCAAATTTTATTTTCACATTATATACATGTGTTCCTTTATGTACTTTTTATTTAATTTTTAATGTCTTAAATTGAGCCTACTGTTTCAGAATTTTTCATTTGGCTTTTATCTAAAGATAGTGTTGCCAAATTTGGCTAGCTTGTTGTATTACATCTTTCTTCAATTTATTTCACAGGGCAAGAGGATTACAATCGATTAAGGCCGTTGAGCTACAGAGGGGCAGATGTCTTTGTCTTAGCTTTCTCATTAGTTAGTCGTGCAAGCTATGAGAACGTGCTGAAAAAGGTGCATTCACCTGAAAATTTCTGTTTTTTTATATTCAAATGTTGTATTTCCTTTTATAATTTCTGACACACAATTTATTGGTCAGTGGATCCCTGAACTCCAGCATTATGCTCCCGGAGTCCCAGTTGTGCTTGCTGGCACCAAATTAGGTAAGCTGAATTATTCTGCACTGCTTTCGCTTACTAAATGCAGAGTGGAACTTGTTCTCTGGTTATATAGGTAGTTTCCTTGTTAAGTTGTGCTCATACTTCAATGTTTCCATTATGTTTCTTAAATCCTAATCTTTGTCGAGCTTAGATTCCTAGTTTTGTATTAAACATGATATCAATATGCACAATGGATGATTGAAAAGATGCTGTCAGTGGTTTTGAGAGCAGGTAAAGTGATACTATTTGGTGCATTTCATGTCTATTGATAGCCCGACCTCAAGTATGAGATCCTAACTTGTTGAAAGGCAAAGAACCAGGAATGTTATTGATACAACCATTTTTTTTTTAATCACGGATTGTCGGTATAAACCTGTTCATATGATTCTTTCTATAACAATGGTAATGCTAAGAAATATTAAATTAACTGACTAAGCAGCATGCAGACTGTATTGGCAGTCATCTTGTAGTAACATGGGACTCGTAGTCATCATGTAGCATTATCTGCAACTAATGAATTGTTTCTAATGGATATGTAGATCTTCGAGAGGATAAGCGCTATTTGGCTGATCACCCAGGATTGATACCTGTGACCACTGCACAGGTTTAATTTTTAGTGAAGAGTTGCTTTGTGTATCATGTAACAACGGATAGCGTCACTGATTGTTCTTCTAAATAACCAGGGCGAGGAGCTGCGCAAGCAGATTGGTGCTTCATTTTATATAGAATGCAGCTCAAAAACTCAGCAGGTATGTATCAACTGGTATTTTATAATCTCATAACGCTAGTGAATCATTCAGTATATTTGAAGCTGCATATTTTGAGGAGAGAGTTGCATGGTTCTTTCCAAATTAAACCAACTAATCTTAGTATTCACTTGTCAAATTGATATGAGCAACTGCGGCTATCTTCAATTCATAAATTCTGGGCCATTGGATCTTGCCAGATACACATGGGTACCAAAAGATGTAACAGAAGTGAAATAACGAACGGAAAGTTGATACTGTGCCAGCATTTAGAAGATCCACAACTCAGCAGTTGTGTTTTCCGTTCAGAAGAGTTTGACTGTTGAATCAACGGGATGTCAGTGTTGGTTTCTTGGGTATCCTTCCTCAAACTAGTCGGTTGTGTCAACCTTAAGATTGGTCTAACAACTTCTTATGTGCATGGTGCCAGTTTCCTGATTTCTTATGTTCTTAAGAATTTCTTGAACTTATGAATGATATTTTTCGTGCTATGAGTTATCTTAGGTGATGCGTGTGAGATCCTTCCAAAAATTACCATAGATTAGATGCTTTCACTGTTAGATTTTCCTCAAATGAGTCTCATCGCTGAACACTCTTGCAATGCCCCCTACTTTCATGTATCTGTTGATCATGCTGTCAATGACCCTCTGATGCAATTGCAGAATGTGAAAGCAGTTTTTGATGCTGCGATCAGGGTGGTTATCAAGCCACCACAGAAGCAGAAGGAGAAGAAGCAAAAGGCACGTCAAGGATGCCTAGTGTGAGTACCTTCCTTTTGTTCATCTGCTTATATTTGAGATGGCTTTAGATTACATGCTACATGATTTTAGATTAGCATTTTGCATGATATATATTCAATTCTATAGGTCATCCATCTTCCCAATTTGAACCATGGGTTTTTTTGTACATCATTACTGTGGTCTCGGCGAATATCATGAACTGAAGAGACCCTTCATGATTAAGTTGTGGTTGAGTAAAAAGTCATGTTAGTTTCAGGTAAAATTGGTTGGGATGTACACCCACATGGGTTGTGATTCACTACCTAGGATTTCTGTCAAATGTTCCATGTATATGCTCTTTAAATTTCCTTTATCGTTCAAGTGTTGTTTGTGTTTCTAGTTTCTATTAACACGACCCCTCTCAAAACTGCAGCAACATCCTTTGCGGAAGGAGGCTAGTGTGTCTCAAATGAAAACATCATCAGCCATCTTAATCATGATGTGCCGAAGTGCCAGGGATTCTCTCCAACAATTCTCTCCGAACCTAACTTGCGTTGATGCTGGCTTCTTTCTTCGTACTAGAATTTTTTTATTTCATATTACGTTATAGATAACAGGGAACGGATACCCCTCGTAACACCGATATTTGTTTATTAAGCTCATTGTAAAGAACTCAAGGTTAAAAGGCTTTACATTTGCAACAGGGAAGCTTTATTTGGAAACTTCTTGTGTGTCAAAATGATCTCTTTGATTAGATAATTTTTGTGACTTGGCGAAATCCTTATCATGCATGCATGGAAGTTAAGAGAGACTTCTCAGTTCTCAAATGGTCTCCTCATCTACTGTCCACATCTACGTTTTTTTTTTTTTTTTTTTTTTTTTTTTTTTTTTTTCTAGAAACCACTCTACTATTACGATGATGGAGCCAACACCGTACCTTGGTTCCATGGTCATGAAGACCCAAACCTACATAAATGCAACATAGGTTCACAGACGTGTAAAAGAGCTACGAGTTTGGTGGACGATTGAAATATAACAAAAATTAGAATACAACATAAAACCTCAGAACAAAACCATCCCATGAAAAAGAAAAGCTCAGGTAACAAACCACACACAGAAGCTTCTGTTCTGAGAAGACCAATATGGATACTTGGAAAGGTTGGCAAAATGGTAATATGGTACACATCTAATGCATTGAAGACCAGAAGGGGCACCAGAGCTTGCGTATGGGCAACACAGTATGTTTTCTAACTGTTAGAATATCTACAGAGCGGATCAGCATCCGCCCATAACAAATTTAAGGGGCAAACAGCTTGAAGAACCCACAGATGACAGATTCTTTTAAGATTACAACTGATACATCAAAGAGGAGGGGGTCGGAGACCATGAACAGGATCAAATAACTCACTTACCACCCATCCTCCAGAAGCACAGGCTAGACAATGACCTCAGGGGTTAGCAAATGCCCATCCTCAAAGCACTGGAAAAATAAAGAGACAGATAAATGTAAATAACTTGGAGTGGCATGAAAAGTAATGGAGAAATTTTTAATGATTTTGGAGGACAAGATGCATAAAATTTAATTCATTTACATAATTCAAGCTCTCTTTCACCAAATATCTTCTCTGGAGTCTTCTTGTCAACTATTTTCCGCGATTCAAATTAAGCAAAAGTTGTATTGTATCACAATGCAATAAAGTCATTTTTCCCAATTCTCCCAGTATTTCCAACCGGAGGCAGCTGTCACCAATTTTTTTATATTAATATTATTAGACTAATTAACCCTATATTACAGAGAACAGTTAAATGACATGTTGTAATTGAAAAGTACTGGAGCAGAACAACAAAATGAGAGAGTTGATTGCAGAGGAACTCCTGCCTATGAAATCCTAAAAACATTTTATTTGGTAGGTTCTATTGGAGTGTCAGCAACTTGGTCCCTCAAATCAGGTTACCAGACCTTGCACACAGGAGTGAAAAATACATAATCAAAGACTTACAAGGTTTCATGAGTCACCCGATTTTGCCATTACACATGCCTATTTCCACGAGGATTGTTTGTAGCCATCCCACCCTCCTTCAGGTTCCTTCCGCTTAAAGGGGCCACCGAACATCCTTACATGCTCCTCAGCTAGGGCTTGTGAACCAGCAACAGATAGTTGCCGTGGGGCAAGGGGTGAAGTCACATCTCTCCCCTCTAAGTCTGGGCCTCCAGGCCCTGCATTGAGATCTAGGCCCTGCCTTCCCCATTTCCTAGTGCTCTCACCACTACTGTTATTACTACCATCAGGAAGATTAACAACATAGGGCCTTGGGTAATTGGAAGAAATCATAGCAGCAGGTCCTAACAATTGGGAGCGGACAGCAGAGTAGCCAAACCTCCCAGCAGATGATGAATCAAGATATGGAGCTGAACCGCCTGCAAATGCAGCTGAGGGCAGAGGAAAACTGCTCCCAAAAGGAAAGACTGGATATGGAAATGAAGTAGAAGGATAGGGTACTGCTGGAGAAGATGACAACACTGAACCCCTGTAGAGATCAGAATTAAACGGGTTGCTACCACTAGTGGGACCCAACATCCTTTGTGGTCCACCAGTTGCAACAATTGGGAATGGCTGGTCCCCACGATCTGACATAATTGAAGGAATTGCGACCGCAGAGTACGTATTGGCTGGAGGAAACCAGGAGAAGTTCCCCACTTCTGTATTGTTCATCCTAAAACCAGAAAGAGGTGGTTGAGATGGCACACTGCTCCTGGTATGCTGGCTAAACACTGCTGGTTCAGCACTCAACTCCTCGACAACAGGTCCGTCATTCAAATCAAAATCCCTATGAAGACTAACTTCTCCATTGAGAGGTCCAGTTGATTTTACTGACGGGAGCGGGTTATCCATTCGGCAACTATTGCTCAATGAGTAATTACCCATTTCAGAAGCCTCACCAATTTGGTTCAAATCAAGATCAAGGCCCCCTGAGCAGCGAACAGGTGCAATACTCATTGATTGATCACACGCCAAATCATTATTATTTGTTGGGTCAGAACGCGAACATATCTCTTGAGCAGGACCTTGAGGAGCCATATCCTCAAGAATTCTTTCATCAGGTACATTCAAGTCAATGTCCAAAGCAGGGCGCCCTTGCTTGCCAGCTGTAGGCTCAAGAACTGAAATACTAGTACCCAGCAACATCTCTAGAGCTTTTCTGGGTTCAGCTGGCCGGAATGCACTTGTTGCTGCTGATCCCTTCCAACCAACCTCCCCTTTACTCTTCAACAGGTCCTCTGGTGGGATACAGGGCCCTTTTGCTGCAGCAGGCACCGTAACTGAAGCGGGAAGGCCACTAGACATGGAAGAAACAGCAAAAGGTAACGGGCTAATCAACTGAAGAGCAGTTGAACATCCAGGTGCTGTCAAGTTACTTGGCTCTCCATATTTCCCATCATCGGCATTAAATCCTTCATTCAAATCAAACTCCACTTTTGCATCTGCCTCTGCTAGCCCTGCAGCAGACACAGAAGAAGCATCTGCAGTTGTAGATGTACATTCGTCAGCTTCTTCTGCTTCCATGCTGGTCAACTTAGACCTCCTGGACCTCAAATGTTCTTCTACTTCTTGCATTGGAAGATCAGATGACACCTTTGAAAGAACAGGTTCACCAAGTTGATCATTAGCTTCTTTAGCTTCCAAATTCTCCTCCACATGCTCATCGTCGTGATCAGTAACAGCAGAACTAGAGCCACCTACAGCTTGATTCTCAGGAATTGAAAGATCATTACTTTCTTTTTTTGAAGGGCTGGGGTCATTACTTTCTGGATCAGTTCTTTGATTTTCAGCCTGATTATGATGACCACAGTCGTCTGTTTCATCAGCTTTTTCAGCCTTCAGTTCACTGGCTTTTCCTGAGATCAAATCTTTTCTAAAACCAGAAGAAAGCAGCACATCTTCACAGGTTCCTTTTACCAACTCAGAATGTCTCTTTAAAGTAGATGGTTTCTCCTCCGCCTGTACACTGCTGTCCATTCCTTCATAACGTAAATTTTTTATCTTACCATCAACATCTAACTCTGCGTGTAAGGATGATTCTTCAATGGCTTCTTTCCCCACTGCTACCCTTGAACTAACATCACTAACCTTATTTCCATTTGACAAAAGACCACTTACACCGTGTTTAATATCTGGAATGCCATCAGCACTCACTCCACCAATTATCTTTTTGTCTTGAAGTGGTTTACCATCACCCTCCATAATTTTCTCAACCGTACTAGGAGGGGAAGCAGTCCCAGACGGAGCTATAACTTCACTTGATTTTTCTTTGTTTTCTGGGGAGAGACCTGCAGAATGCTGGATACTTACACTGGAATAGTAAAGATTTCTAGTGTCCTCTGCTACAGAATTCTGTTCACACACAGAAGAAGATTTAACAACCCCATTCTTAGCCCCAGAAGTAGTGGATTCAAAACCATGCTTTTGATATTCGTCATCAGCACCATCATTAGACTGACTTTCGTCTCGAGCAAGCTCATCAACAGGAGGTGATTTGACTCTGGAATCATTGCCTTCGCAGAGATGCTCAGATACCGGGGTGCTCCTTTGTGGAGAATCAGTTGGGGACTCAGATTTAGACATCTCTCCAGCAGCCACGCTAGCAAGCAGATTCATACCAAGATCATCTCCAACTGAGGCATTACCTTCAGAATACTTCACACAGCTTTCAATCAACGCATGCATAGAGCTGAAGGAAGCTTCCTGCAAGTTATCCGATTTTTCGTTCCCAGATGATGAGGAAGCAGCTTTCGGGACTTCTGCAATTTTCTTAGAGTTGTCACCAGCCCTACAGTCCTCTTCAGCAGTAACAGCAGCGGGGGACCCATCGCCCTCATCAGATCCAGTCAGTACATCTTTAAAATCATTACTTTGCCATGACTCGTTGTTCACATCCGAAGTAACAGTAGCTCGATAAACATCAGCCTTTTCCTTTACGCTACGATCTAACTGATCATGCTTCTCCAATTGCATGGGAGATGAAGCTCTGCTATTCATATTTGA